TTTCGTAGTTCCACGCTAGAATATGGCCAGCGCATTGAACCGACTGCCGACGCCCCTGTGCTACATAAGGTAGTCCGGGCTGCTAGTCAGGAGGAAAGTGTTCCGGGTCCTCCTTGGCGCAAGTATCGGCAACGGCTCCAGAACCCCAGAGCTGCCCCATGGGCACCCCTTATATGGGGAGCATGAAAGTGCGGAAGCAGCGATCATTGGCCGAGAGTTTTTTAGGAGCAGGCCTCGAACTTGGGGTTGTCTTGAGGCCGGTAGCGAAAGCTTTGTCGGAGTAGGAATCTGAATGTTTTCATCGTCGCCGTCAGGGGAGACCTTTCTTTAAGGTTGTGCTCAGAGTTCCTTGCCTTCGTACTTTGTGCCCTGTGCCCTCCCCCGGTCCTCTTCGAGACTCAGGAGATGGAGTCGGCATACGATTGAGGAGGACGATTAGCCAAGACCCTCGATGCCAGCTCTCCATGTCCTTTTCCCTTTCTTTTGCTGACCTCTTCACCCTCGCCTCCAAACCATAGTATTTCAGGGCCTGGCAATGCCAAGCTTTGGGCCATATACTAGAACTCATGTTGAGAGTCTGGCGACTGGTCCAACGGGGAAACGGGCGGAGACCAAACCGGAGTTCGGCCAGCCTATTTTTCGACCCGGAGTTCCGGGTCCGGCTCTTGTTTCTCCGCTTTCCACATCGCATGCCATGGGGAGCTCGCACTACCTTACGGCGTACAGCGAGTCGCCTTTTCGTCCGACAAAGGGTGTTACGATACATAATGTTTTGCAACCCCGATGCTTTTGCTTTTGCTTGAGCTTGAGCTCGAGCATCGAGTCAATTCGACGTCGCCAGTCAAGCCATGGACGCTCGTGAGGTTGCAAAGCACAGGTCGGCAGCTTCGTGCTGGATTGTCCTTCATGGAAAAGTATACGATGTGACCGACTATCTGCCCGAGCATCCGGGAGGAAAATCTGTCTTGTTGCGATGGGCGGGCAAGGTACGTGACCGTCTGACAGTCTACTGCTTTTGTTTTCTTTTTCTTTTTCTCTTTCATCTGTTCTTTCTCTCCAGGGGTACACCGACCAAGCAAGTCGTGTACCAGGAGATGAACCACGGGCTAACAGGATAGGCCAACAAAAGGATGCTACAGCCGAGTACTCCAAGGTACACTCACCTTCAACCGTCGAAGAGACTCTAACAAAAGGTGTGGACTCTTTCTTCATCTCGTAGCGTAGAGCCAGGCTAAAGGGACGCCGCACACGTAACAACAGAGAAGCAGTTGGGTCCTCTTGACAGCGCAACGGTCGAATGCCTGGACAACGGCGTCAATTCCGCGTCTGGATCTGGGGCTGGGGTGGCCAGAAACGATGCCAAGCAGGATGCGATTCCGCATATCGACCTCTGCGTCAGGCTTGATGACTTCGTCGAACCGGCACGACGGACGATTTCGGAGCAGGCCTTCACGTACATCTCCTCGGCGGCCGATACGTTGCAATCGTACCACGACAACGCCGAACAGTGGTCCAAGGTCTCTTTTATCCCACGAGTTCTCCGCGACGTCTCTCGGGTCGACTTGTCCACTTGCATGTTCGGTCAACGATGCGCCATGCCGTTCTTCATCGCCGCGACCGCCCTGGTCGGCCTGACGCATCCGGACGGGGAGGCTGGCCTGGCGAGAGTAGCCGCAGCCCGCGGCGTACATTATTCTCCCAGCACGTACACGTCGGTTCCGCACGCCAAGATTGCAAAGAGCCACGGAGAAGCAGCAGCTACTGGCGCTGGATCGGGATCGGGATCGGCATCTGGTCCTGCCGACTCGCGTCTTTTCTCCCAGCTATACGTGCACAGCAGGAAGGAGAAGACGCTATCCCTTATCCAGGAGGCAAAGAGATTGGGTTACCGGGCATTGATGATCACGGTGGATACACCTTGCGTGGGAAACCGAGACGAGGACCGCCGACTGAAAATTCGAGACGAGCTTGAGCTCGGTGGGCCACTTCCAGAGTCTGATGCCGACGGCGAACCTAGGGTTGTCCCCGGACGCAACAGCGGAGGACTATCTCAGTCGCTGAACTGGGAGGACCTCAAGTGGATCCGGGAGGCCTGGGGAGGACCGATAGCGTTGAAAGGTATCCAGTCGGCCGAGGACGCCAAGCTCGCCATGGAAGCCGGAGTCGAGGCCGTCTACCTCAGCAACCACGGCGGCCGGCAGCTGCACTCGGCGCCGCCCTGCCTCGCCACATTGCTGCAGATCCGTCGGCAGTATCCCGAGGTCCTCAGGCGGTGCGAGATTTTCGTGGACGGCGGAGTAGCCAGGGGGGGAGACATTCTCAAGGCGATTTGCCTCGGGGCGAAAGCAGTGGGCATTGGACGACCGCTGCTTTACGCCATGGGTGCCTATGGGCCGAAAGGCGTGCACAAGGCCATCGACAGTGAGTTCTGCCTTGCCTACCCCATAACCTATGTCCCAATTCCCCGGTCCATCGGGATCCTTTCATGCTGAACGAAAGGGGATGCAGTCTTGAAATACGAGTTGGAAACGACCATGGCACTGCTTGGCGCTACAAATGTAAGCCAGCTGAACGATGGTATGGTCAATGTAGCCAGACTTGGACGGGAGTATTATGTGGATGGATCAAGCTTCGACAATCAAAGGACGTATAAACTGTAGTGTAAGACAGTCAGTGAACTCCGGGCGGCGACAGAGCGGAGCCGGGGGAAGAAGTCGATGTCGCCCATTACTCAGGAGTGAAATAGAGAGAGTCGTGCAACTCGAACTGCCTCGGAGAAGAGGACTTGAGCTACGAAATATCATGCGCGCCGAAAACGGTGGTAAATGTTATGGAGCTTGAAGACTGAGAATAAAAGGAAATGTCTTCGTGTGAGGTCGTCTTAAAAGGGCGGTCATGGGTGTCAATGTGAATAGGGTAATTATTATTATTATTATTATTAGTATTATTATTCAGATAATTCAGGGTACAAGGGAAGGTATGCTGACTAACTCGACCTTTGACATATCTACTTCGTTGTCTGGTCACCTTAGGTACCGAGGTATCTAGCCCTTTCTGGTCTAATGTGCCTTATGTAGGCTCCATATTTCCATCCAAGTGAACCAATAGATGACGTTTTTTTACCTTGTACGTATATAGGTACTTAGTACTATCATCCCGAAGTCACCAGTCGCGACTTCACAGGGAAGGAAGCTCCCAAAATTTATCCCAATTCGCGTCCAGCTTCTTTCTTCCTTCCGCTACTTTAGTTTTTTACGACGACCCGACGAATCACCACATCGAGGCCTTGAGCCTTGCCTTCCTTACTACGACTCTCCAACCACGACTCTCTCCTTCTTTTACATCTTTTGGTCTATTCTACTTTGTCTTCCATGTGAAACCTGCGATTGACCAGTTCCTCCCCCCGAACGACTTGTGCCGTCCTTATCCATCCGTGATACCCATCCAACAACAAGCACAAAATAACAACATCTCGGAGCAGCTTCCCTATTTTGACCGAACAAGTCCAAACTCCTGCGATATAACAGCAGGAGGGTCAAAGGAAGCCGAAACCCAATTTAATCCGGCGAGAGAACAGCCTAAACCTTGTCACCATGCCCACCTATGGCCTCCCCAGTGACGATAGTCAGCCGCCGTCGACCCCCGATAGGAACCTTCGCTATGGCTCTGGCTCCTTTCGTTACGACGACAATCCTTCCACCACTCCGGCTGGCCCTCCTCCTCCTTCGTCTGCCGCATCCTTCACCCCAGCCGGTGCGCCTTCTGAATCCTACTTGGGAAGCTCCGTGATGCGTCCCTTCACTGCCCACAAAACCGCAAACCCTGGCGCCCCAAGCGCCGGAAGCACGAACAGGAACCTATTTGGCCGACCCCAGAGTTCTCCCAAGTTCCCTCTTGCCAATTCGATGGCAGCCGCTAGGTCCGCCCGCCAGCCGTCTTCCTTGAGCAGGGAATATGGTGCTAGCAAGCAATCTCAATCACACGGGCTCCAGAGCAGCACCTTCCACATCCCCACCTTCGACGACAGCGACGAAGACGAAGACGAAGAGGAAGAACCCGACGAGGTGGCCGAGGCCGACGAAGAGATGAAGCGATATCTCGAAGCCGATATCGATGAACCCGAGGACGAGTCGGTCGACGCCGATGAAGACGAGGATATGTTCCTGAGCATGCGGCACGAGAAGGCGGGTGCGGGTGCGGGTGCGGGAGATCAGTATAATGAACCTGTCTTTGCCGGTGCCGCCATATACGACGAAGACACCGGTCAAGAGGCCAACAAAGATGCTGGCGCCGCCGGCAACGCCATGGACGAGGACTTCGACTTCAGTTTTGACAACCCCGACGACTCGGATCCTGACTTTATGCAACTCGTTACCCCTGCTGCCACAGAAAAAATGCGGAAGGAAGCTGAAGATATTTTCCGCGCCTCCACCCGTCGCCGATCTTCACTAAGCGGCAGGGCCCTCAAGTTTGCTTCCACCGCCCGCGATCTCTACACCGAGCTCGGTTCCGCCCTCATCACCGAGTCGCCTTCCGTCCTCCTCCAAACCGAGGAACTGATCAACCAGCTATACGACGAGGGAATCGGAACGGAAGAGGACTCGGATAAACTCGACTCCTGGCTTTCTCAGATTGCAGACAACCTGACCGACACCTGGAGGCAGTATGCTTCGAGTCTTCCGATGCCCGAAGGCGAACACATCGCCGAGGTAGGCCCCAGTCCGGAGGACGAGCCCTTCCGCAAGGCATCGTACGTCGCCAACCTGGTATTGCGCCTGCATCACACCCGCACGGGCGACCCCCAGACCGACGCCCTGCCACGCATTCTGTTCGAGTGGGCCCAGAAGAACCACGATCTCTATCCAGGCCAAGCCAGCGACGTGCTGAGTCACAGACCTTGCCCCGCCGCCCATCCACTCTACTGGCAGACCATCTCAAGCTCACTCATGCGGGGGAATATCGCCGGCGCCGTGCAGCTGCTCACGGATGCCGGGTGGGGAGCCGTCAGGAAGGGTCCTCGGGGCGAACTGGCCTATACGGGCAAGGCCCTGGAAAACGTACAACGCGCTGTCGATATCACAATCGATATGCTCAAGGCCTGCCCCGGCAACAGGCACAAAGAGAACTGGGACGTTTTCAACAGCGACTGGACGCTGTTCCGTATCCAAGCCAAGGGTTCGCTGGACAGGCTCCAGCGGTTTGCCGAGGGCCGGGGCCAGGACAGACCCCAGTTCGCCATGGGCGGCGACTACGACTACGACAATGGCGGTGGCGCGTCGGGCCGCCCTTCGCTGGCCAGCCTTGCCCGTAAAGCCGAGAGCCAGGTCCCTTGGGACATCTACGAACACCTCCACATGACTTATGAGGTTGCCATGGGCGTGCCCGAGGCTATCCTGGATGCGGCCCAGGACTGGTGCGAAGCGACAATCGGCTTGTTCGGCTGGTGGGATGTCGACCAGACCGGCGATAGGGACAAGAGCTTCCGCATGTCTCGGTCGCACGGCCTACAGGCGTTGGCCCTACCCGCCCCCTCTACGGGATCGGATGTCTGGCTGGACCGCCTGACCACGGCGCTCCATACTGCCGTCGCATCGCAATTCGAACCGAACCCTAGAAATTCAGTCGAGATGGCCATCGTTTCCGCCTTTGAGGGCAACAACACGGCAGTCATCGGGTTCCTCCGAGCCTGGTCTCTACCTGTAGCGGCTGCCGTTGCCGAGCTGGCTTCCTTGGGCCAGTGGCTGCCGAAACCGGAGTCGCCGAACCTGATATCTCTGGAGAGCCTAGATCAGGAGGACCTGGCTATTCTTGGCATGCCGGCCCGGGGCAAGGACGAAGTGGAGGGCGTCAAAGATACCACTCTCGTACAGTACGCACGAGAGCTCGCGGGCATTGACCAGCTGTCGCCGCAACGGTACGGATGGGAGGTGGCCATGGAGGTTTTAGGACGCATGGACTCGGCGGAACGGTCCGAAGAGATGGTCGGGGAGCTGCTTCGGGACATTCTTGACGCGCTGAATGTCGACTCGAGTGACACGGTCGAGAAGCTATGGAAGATTCTTAATGAACTCGGCATGATCGCGTACGCCGAGGACACTGCAGAGGTATAGTTTACACACACACACACACACACACACACACACACACACACTCTCTCACACACGGTGCACTTTGGGTGAGGCGGGAAGAGCAGCATAGCTAACTGGAAGTGTTTCGCAGAACTTTGCGGAGATACTGGCGAGGGACTCGCATCGATATGGCGAGGCGCTCTGGTACTACGCCCTTGCTCACCGGCCGGGCAAGGTGCGTGAGGTGCTCAACCTTCTCACGTCATACTCCCTCATGCAGTCGGCCGTCTTCCCTCCCCGCGAAGACCTCGACGATCACCTCCACCGACTCCTTACCGAGCGCAGCAAAACCCTGGAGCAGTACGCCCAACAGGATCTAGAGGCGGCTCAGCTCCTGGGCCGCATGCTCAGCGGGTACGCCACTCTGCGCAAGTTCTACGAAATCCGCGACACCCCAGGCCTGGCGTCCATGTCGTCGCACAAAGCCGCCGCACTTCGCCGGCAAGCGGCAACGGCCATTGTGGCGGTGATTTCCAGCTCAGACGACAACATCCGCGGCGGCCTCTACGACGAGAGGCGCGATGCCGTGGTGAGCGAGGATTTTCTCTTGGCCCTTCTCGGCGAAGCTCTGGCGTTTGTCAACTCGGGTTCGGAGGTGGTCATCACGCTGGACCAAATGGACGCCCTCCTCAAGGCGGTTGAGGACATTGAGACGGTATCATCGACGGTCTTTGACGCCGCAGACGAGTTCTTCAATCTTGTCTTGGCCTCGGCGCAGGGCTTGAAAGAGTCGACGCCTTATGACCTGATGCGGAGGAAGAACACGAACACGAACACGAACACGAACACGAGCGCGAGCAACCTGAGCGTGTCCAGCTCGCACATGCTGAGCGGCAGCACCATGCTGGCGAGCCAGCTGCACCGGTCCGTGAGCGGCGGTCTCAGCAGAACGGGGGGCTCGGCGAAGCGCGGCTGGGACTGGCGCAGTGGGCTGACGGCTGGCGCCGCCACGAGCCGGGACGTCCTGCGCATGTTGAGGCTGGGACTGTCGAAGGATTTGTCTAAACTGTGGCTCGCCGAGGCCGATACCGCGCCCGTCGTGGGTTAGGAACGCGAAGGGCGGCATTTGTCTCGGTTTTGGTCCCCGTCGCGGCTGCCGATGGTTGGTTCGTTTTGGACGGCGAGCAGCCTCGCTAATGCGGATACGGCGGATGGTGATGGGGATGGTGACACATACATGGACGGGGAGTTGGAATATGCGTTGGGCGGTCCGTTGGTTTGAGGCCGATTACTCCGTGTTATTAATGCAGAAAAGGGAATACAACGTATTGTGGTCTTGGTCTTGTTCTCACTCTAGTTCAGCCCATAGATCCCATCATCGAGTTACCTCATCTCATTCCCTACCTACTCCAGTGACGAGGAGCTCAGCCTAACCCATAGTAAGCGTCCCCGTCCGTACATCCATAACACATCAAAGTGGTAAAAAGGGTGGTGATAATTCAATGCTCCAACCACGCCTCGCCACCCAAAACCTCTTTCCACCCCTGCCCGTCGCCGCGCTGGAACCCACGTACGTCCAGCACGTCGGCGGCTCCAAAGTTGGCGCCGTACAGATGAGGACAGCCGTCGGTGTGGGGGACCTCCCAGCGGATCTTGTCGGCGAAAGGGCGGAACGGGAGCTTGAAGATCCAGAGGTTCGTGGTGTCTTTGAAGTAGAGGCTCGCGGTGATGGGGATCTGTTTGATCGTTGACGAGGCGTGTCCTGAAGAATAAAATAAAAAAAGGGGGATTTGGTGACGATACTTACCTGCTTCGCTGTGCTAAAGTGGATGAAGCCGTCGTTACGGTCGAGGTCGGAAAGGGGCCATTCGGCTGGTAGTGGAGAGGGCGGTTCGTCGGGGATGATCTTGTAGATATGCACCGGGAGGGGGTCCGGGATGGGACCTGTATGAGGGTTGTTGGGGGAAGACATTGGGAGATTCTCGCAGTTAGTCGACTTTATTACTAAAAAACTTTTGTTTTGTTCCTGGTGTTTCTTTCCGAACAAGTGTTGCCTTAACTCCGTACCTAAGTTTGTGAGGGATATGCATGAGTTCAGGTCCCTGACGGCATGCCATATTACCTTACACACACGTCGGAGCAGGTAGAGTACTTTAGGTATACATAATTATAGCACTCCGCACCTACCTAAAGTAAGGTACAGACAGTATTCGTGGGTACCTTAGTATTCGTACTCCGGCTTCAGGTCTACATCACGTAAGACACGTCGCGTCCTGCGAGCTGGTTGTATGGACAGAGTATGGAGTACAGAGTATGGAAGTTGTAAGGAGTAATTATTTCTTACAAGTCCTTGTCATGTCCTCGCAGACACCACGTCGCGACCTCTCCTGACAACCTACTATATCGACTTGTACAAGTCCATCAAACAGCCGCAACGTCACCGACAGAGACCCCAATGACCTTGACAAGGACCGACGGCCTCCCCCATCAGTATTACCTACTACTGTACTCGTACCACAACTCCTCACGCCTCGCATTCCCGGTTTTTGCTTTTCCGTCCTTCTCCTTCCAACCATCACGCCCCATGCCTCATATGGTCTAAACGACTACCGCACCTTACATATATGTATGTATGTGCCTCAACTTCGACATAAACCATCATGTGGACGGTTCGTTTTGATCCTCCCCTCCTCTCCCTCTTTCCCTCTTTCCCCTTTCCCCCTTTTTTCAACTGGTTCAGGGAGGGGTTTCGACCGCCGCCCCAGCCACTTTTTTCAGCACAAACGCCAACGCTTTCATCGCCATGCTCGAATGCCAGGCCGTCTCTTTCCGTCTCTTTCCATCTCTCCACCTCTCCATCTCTCCATCTCTCCATAGAACCAACGTTCTTTGATGTGGGACTGCCACTAGACCCGCTGGTAGAAGAGTAGGTAGGCCACCTTATTATCTTTGATGTTGTCCTTGGGTTGCTTACCCCTCGGCTGCGCGTCGGGCCCGCTGGTCCCGTTACTCCATCGGTTCTTCTTGCTGCCGCTCGTCTTGTCCACCGGCGTCCACTCGCCCCGGTCGCCCGTGTCCTCGTCGTTGATGCTGCCGAAGCGGTTGGCCGAAGCGTCCCGCGACCCAGACCCTTGGCTCGCGCCCTTGACCGGCTCCTCTTCCCCTACTTCGGCCACGTCCTCGCTGCGCACCCGCCGGATCACCGTGTCGTCCAGCCGGATCCACTCTTGTTCGTCTTGGCGCCTCACGTCGACCGTGTAGTGGCCGCCGTTGGCATGCTTGCCGTGGTGGTAGACAGCCGCGACAAGTTTGTACTTCGGCCCGCCCGCTCCCTTATTGGCGTTGTGGAGGTGCCACTGCTTCGAGAGCGCTTGCGCCGGGATCTCTAGCTCGAGGGGATATCCCACCCTCTTCCAAATCTTGGTCGTCCCTCCCTCGGCATCGAAGTGGAATCTCTTTAGGTGCAAGATCAATATGGGCGGTAGGGTCTCGATGAGCGTCTGCTTGGTGACCGATGCTTGTTTGCCTCGCGGAGAGTCGAATCCAGCACCTTCCAGTTTCTCGTGGGATGTGAGTCTGATCAGGGCATCGACAACCGTCTTGATCTCCGGCGCCCCGATGTCGAGCTGCAGTGCCTGGTACGGTTCGGTCGTGATCGAGTTCTGCTTGCCCGTCACCCGGAGTTCTGACCGCAACAACCCCCCAAAAATCTGGGAGATGGGCGTAGATGAGCTGGCTCCCGAGGACCGTGTCACAGCCGCCCGCTGCTTGGCCCCAACTTCGAGCCAACCGTCCGCGGACGTGTTTGGCACCGTCGGCGACGCTGAGGACCCATTCACACCATTGGCCGCCGCCACACCCATCATCTTGGCGCACTCCTCGTCGAGCGACTGTAGAAGGAGGCCAAAAAACTCCTCGGCATCTTGCTGGTGACCTCTCTGCTAACCCGTTAGCCAATGGAGAAAACAAACCGACAAAAAGAAACATAGCAGAAAATCATCGAGACGAAAAAAAAAAACGTACTCTCATATTCTCGAATCTCTTGTCAGGCTCAATGGCCTGGTAGATGAACTCGGGCGTGAAAGAAGCCCCATATTGCTCCAACTCCTCGTTCTTCAAAATCTTGCCCAGTTTGGCCGCCGAGTCTCCGGCAGCAATTGTCTGGAATTCTTTCATAAAGAGGATCCTGGAAAGCGAGCCATGTCAACACAAGTCTCTCCCGCCACAAAAGCATACAAGGACTTACATTGCATCGAGAATGGGGGTCTGGCTTTTAAAGCTGAGGGGAACCTTCTCAGCAATTTGGTCCAGAAAGTCGTAGAATGGAACACAATAAAGAAGAACTTGAAGAACCTGTTTCCCTTTCGTCAGCGGATACGCAAAAACGTCGTCGTCGTTGAGGTTAAAGAAACTTACAGAATTCATATAACACATATTACCAATATTGATCAAGCCCCGAGGCTCAATAAACTTGATCTTCTGTGGATTGCCGACTTTGTACGCCCGGAGAGCAGCCGAGATGGGGCTTGCGCCGGCCTGCGACTGAGCCGTGTCCGCGTTGGCCGCCTGGCCGCTATTTGCAGATTGCACGCCATTAGCAGTGCGATCGTGGGGGGATCCGTCCGCGGAAGTCTGAGACTTTGAAGCAGCAGAGGCGCCGGGTTTCGCAAAAAGGGCGCTCCAGCTCGACACGGGTGGTCGCGGCGCCGGCTTAGGGGTAGCCTTCTCCTCTTGCTGCGGCTGATCTGTGGCGCCACCGCTTGCCGGCGTGGCAATGGTTGCCTCCTCGGTGAGCACTGCTGCCGCCCGGGAATCGTCTGTGGCCTTCTCCGCAGCCGACGCCCTCCCAGCCTTTGGGCTGCTCTTCGGCACCGCCGGCACAACGGGCACGACCGGAATGGCCGGGCGTGGTGTTATTGATCGACCTGCAGGCTCCGACACTGATGCGCCCGACGCACTCGCAGTGGGTCCTGTGACTTCTTTGGCCCGTTTCTCAGGCGCCTTTTCCGTGGTAGTAGCTTCGGGTGGGGAATCGACCGGGTTGTCCGACTTTGGGGTGGATGAGGGATTCGCGGCCGTACTTGTAGTCGAGGTAGTTATTGACTGTGCATCATCAACGTCCTCTTTTTGCATTGTCTCTCGGGCATTCCCCTCTGTGGCAGGTCCTTGTTGCTCGGTGGGTAAGGTCACTCGTTTCTGTTCCGAATCCATCGGGGCCCGTCGTTTCCGTCGAAAACGAGTCTTTTTGGGAAACTCTTGGTCTGGTCGCGAGAGCCATGGGAGCTACCACACACAAAAGTCAATATTGCGATGCCTCTCTAAAAGTGAGGGGGGAAAGAAAATCCCGTCCGTTCATGGTAACCAAACTCACCGGTGGCCTAAATGGCTGCGTCGGCGGAACTTCTGGTGTGATAGCTTCAGCAGCTGGTTGCGGCGAAGGGGCCGAAGGCTGAGAAACCAACTCGGGTTCTGGCTCCTGCTGTGGCTCCTGCTGTGGCTCCGGCTCCGGCTCCTGCTGTGCCACGGGCTCGACTTCCGCAACGGGCACGGGAGGAGGTTGTTGTGGGGGAAGAGCTTGGTCGGCTTGTGGGACGGCGGCAGGAGACGGAGAAGCAACCACCAAGGGAGTGTCGCCCGGAAGGGTGTGAGACGACTGGGTAGAGGTAGGTGTTTGCGGGAGGACCGAGCCTGGGATGGGAGGCGGCTGATAGGGGGTGGCGAGGGCAGGTGATTGCTGGTGTTGTCGCGGGTAAGGCTGGGAAACGGCGACGCCGGCCATGGGTACGTAGTGCGGGATCGTGGGCATCGTGGGCGGCGAACGCATGTACGGTTGTTGGAAATGCATGTAGCCCGATGGAATTGCGCCGCTTATACCACTCTGATATTGGTGAGGCGCCGGCTGCTGGTAGTACTGGCTGGCAGCATAGGGATTCATATAGTTAGGGTACATATTAGGCGGTTGATAGTGATAGGGCGGCGCATGCGCAGGCAACGGCCGTCTTCTGCCATGAGTACCATGAGTACCATGCCCGCCGTGACCACCATGCCCGCCGTGATGGCCGTGAGGACCATGGCTACCGTGGCTACCATGAGCGATATGTATGGCACCTGGTCCGGAGCCCATCTCACCGCCAGCCGTTGGGCTGATCCCTCCCCCACCTCCCGGGATGGGCTGCCCAGCCGGCAGATGACGATGGCTCATCTTGCCGGCTTGGGAGTCGCGTGTTTGCAGTGACTGTCCAGCGTTTGGGCAGTCACTGTTTTCCCTTCTCGTTGCGCGCCTTTGATCTCGGTGAATGCGGACGGTGTGGCGAGGGGTATAGTTGAACGAGAGAACCGGTTCGTCTGCAGTTTTCCTCTGCCCGATACGAAGAGTGACGGGCGGAGATGGTCTGGAAGAATGCACAGGAGGCAGCACCCGGTCCTTGGCTGTGTTACCGTTGCCTGGGGCCACAACCACACAGAATAATGGCGAATGCTGACGGCTGTAAAGACTGCAAGAGAAGTTGAATAACCGGTTCACCTATGTCAACCGCTGGAACAGAGGAAGAAAATAGAACAAGACAAGCGCGACACTGTGAAAAGAAGGAAAGTGATCGTTGCAAAAGGGGGTGTTGGTGGAGGGTGGCGTACCGAAGGGGCGAGGCAAGGAAGGAAGGGAAAGAGAGGTCCGTCCGGCCTTCACTTGTGTCTTGTCAAAAAAATTACTTGACGGTTGCCGTTGGTTAGTCAGGATCTCCCAGAGGAATAAAAGCCCGGGGTCCATTATTACGGATAGTTAGGGTGGAGCTTGTGGAAAGAGCGTTGGCGAATCGATGGTTGGCTGAACTGCCCCATGCACGGACCTTAAGCTGCCCGAGGCGCATTCTGTCTGTCAAACCCTCGGTGAGGAACCATCGCAAACTGGACCGATAGGTATCGAACATCGTCGAAATTGCGAGCCTCATACTTCGTACATGTGTCCGTATGATTGATTTTTTTTTTTGCTGACAAAGAGGTGAATATCCCACAAGAATCTTCAGGCCCATGATAACGCCTATAGTCCCAAGGGTCCCAACGGCTGGTCGGCTTTAAAACCACGCAGCAGTCCCTCCCTAACGCCATCTAACAACCGCTCAGGACTATCCGTTTACTAATTATCCCACAGGCCAATCGAAGTCCGCAAAATTAAAATATGACTTCGACGCTTAGTAGGCTGACACTTGAACAACGCTCCAGCGGATCTATCACTCATCCTTGAACACCCAACGACCTCCTGGTCTCATGGCTTCTCTGTACCTCTCTTGTATCACCTGTTTTCCCCGCTTCTCTGCCTCTGCCTTCTCCGCGGCAATTGCTTGAGTGTCCGGAAATTCGGGGTCCCAAAACCCAGGCGGGGTTGGTCTCCGAGAATAGTGGTGGCGATGCTTCCCTAGCTGATTAGCTAGCTTCCACGTCTTGGCCTCAAGCCAAAGCTCTTCCTTCTCTGCCGGGGACATGCCCAGCACCCTGCTTATGCTGTCCCCTAGATACTCCTCGAACAGCTTCATGTCCTCTGAAGTGTTCTTCTCGGTATTAGAGCGCTGCGCCTTGGCCAGTGCACGGAACTTCTTCCCGCAGCAGTTCATATCCACACAGCCGGGAAGGCAAGCTCGGTCATCTTTGCCTCGCACAACCTCGGAAAAGGCGTAGTCGAACCCGCTGTTGTACTTCGGGTTGATCTTGAAATCATCCAACCGCAGTCTTGACGGTGATTTCGACCGGAGCGCACCTGGCCGGGAACGCTCGGCCTGCTCGTTGGCTGGCCTTAGAGGTTTCCTTTCCGGTGCGGTTTCCAGCCCTCCAACCTCGCTACCTTTCTCGGCGCGGCTCGGTGAGCTGTCTTTCGACCTGCCACGCTTGTCTTCCCCAAAAGGCAACTTCCTACGCTGAGGCGGCCCAAGGCCGGGAAGAAGAGACCGGGATATACTTCGCGTGGGGGGCGCGGAACGTACACTCGTGGGCCCTTCTCTCGTGGCCGGCGTGTTGAGGAGTTTGTCGAGACGACTATTTTCCGCAGGGCTCTGGATCGAAGGACCGCGGATTGGTCTCTGCCGATATGGACCACCGTCCTCAGCCAAGGATTCTATTCCTTCGTCAAGACCCTTCTTGAGAGGCTTGCTCGCTGGTTTTCTAGTCGACGACTCGAGATTTCGGATGTTCGAGCTAATGGGCGCCAAGACTGATGACGCCACGATGGGCCTCGTTCCAGGCTGATTCGTCAAATCTGGTCTGATCAGCACCTTGGCTGCCGGCCAGAGTCGCAGAGGAGCTGATTCATGGACGTTTGCGAGCGCGTCGTCCAGCAACCTATTCTTCCTCGGCGTGTTGAGTACCTGTCCAGTTTCATCAAGATCTATGCTGTCGTGAGGCACGAGACCAATCTGCTTGAATCCCAGGTCGCTATCTGAACTGCTCGCTTCGATTTTGATTTTCCTGGGGGGCGGCTGGTTCGTGTGATCTGGCGCTCTCCTTTTACGGACAGAGCGTTCGTCAACGATGACCAGCCCGTCAGAAGACGGCTCAGGCTTGATAGCAATGGCAGAAGGTACGTCCGCAGCAGCCCCGGGCAGAGGGGGAAGGCCGACGTCATCATCATCCGCAGCATCCGTCGCGTCGTCTTCTGTCGATTCCATGTCGTCGTTGTTTCCAGCATCCTCCTTACGGATGGCCGGAGTCACAGCAGGACCGAAGCCTCGTCCGGCGGGCGATTCGGGAATTCGGGGCACCGAGGTGGGAACCTCGCCCTCGGGATGGGAACAAGGTCCAGGATCCGAAGAAAAACTTAAATGTGCTGTCCCGTCGCGTGCAGGATCCCCCAAATATGTTTCACTGGAGGCCCTTGAGCGCCTTTTCGACGGATGGACAGGGCGAGGGTCGTCGGTGTACGCGTCGTCGGCGGGACCCGGCCCAGGATGCTGGTCATGCGGACGCTTTGCTGATCGGGAGGCTTCCTGGAGGCATTGGGTGCAACGTTGAAACAATTCCAGGGTCTCTTTCTTTTCGTTGTAGGCGGCCCTGAGACTTTTGTAGTTCGAATTTAGCTTATCATATTTCCTCTGCAGCACGTGACTCTTCCGGAGCAAATTGTTCCAAACGTCTTCATTTGGCAATGTTGCCAAAGCCGGGGCAATACAGGCGGCGACCGCAGCCTGGTCCGGCTCGATATCGTTCTTCTGAAGCTGGGAGAGCTGTTCGCGCAGGGTCCGATTCTCCGATTCTACTTTCTCTAATTCCGCAACGCGACACCGCAGGGTCTCTAGCTCGGACTTTGTTTCTTCGTGCATACGGTTTCGATCCTGAAGTTCTGTTCCTCATGGTTAGACAAAAGTGCCGGAAGTGAAGAGAAAAAAAGGCTTCATACCGGCCCGCAAATCTATGTCGATCTGGTCACAAACAGCAGTGAGAGCGTCGAGGAGACCCGGACGGCCCTTCTCAAACCAGCTGGCCATTTCTGGCACCAGCTCCTCATAAGGGCTTCTATTCCGTACGGGAGACACGATGGGAGGCAGGTACGGAGCATTCGGAACACCACACCATGAACGTGTAAAACGCGAAAACTCGCAGTGCCACGGCACGCGAACGTCATCGGTCTGAATGTACCTAGGTACCTACTTCGTGGTTCCCAATACTCGGACAAAGTACCGATATGGGTATGCACGGACCATGTTTGAAAACGCATTCGTGTGGGCGACCCTTTCCCGTACGTGATTGGCTCGCCAGGAAAGAGAAACGTTGCTAAAGTACCTAGGTAGGTACGGATACAATGCAACAGTACCTTACACGTGTAAGGTAAGGTATCCGTATCCGCTCTCCGTATCGGCGGACCACTGCAAAACATCGGAGGATTGGTATCCGCCTCGAGTCTATGAAACACCATTTTGCATGACGCTGAAAGTCGAAAGATATGAAGACGGCAGTCAGAAATTCATTGAATACATTGTTTTAATCGTAGTAGCTTTTCCTTCAGGAGTAGTTGTCCGAGATTTGGGCTGATGGCTGGATAATTGGGCAATTGTTCTCATCTACGAAGTAATTACAGCAGGTACCTTGCCTTAGGAGGGGATGATTCCCATGACCTTGGGCAGATAAAGGGTCGAGCCGCTGTGCGCAGTCTCTTCCAAGGGAGGAGCTGATGGTATGATAATTAAGAGATGGCCAGAAAAAAGCGCGAACGACCAACCATCAGTCCACAGTGTTCCAATTCGAGTGGCTATAGCGAAATTTGATACCTGAGGCCCCTCACCCTTACTCAGTACCGACTTCGTAGACAGATGATGGAACGAAGTGCGCATACCCGTGGGGAGCACAGCTCCAGTTTGACGCACGTTACCCCTCCTTCAGTCCCTCCGTCGGCGATTTTTGCGACAGGTCCGTTTATATTTTATCACAGGGATACCTACTCCACATGTCCCCATCCTGCTCACAAGCATTTTCTTGGTATTTTGCCCCCCCACTGTCCAGGCTGACCCACCATGCTTCGGTAAAACATATCTGGTTTTTTTTTTCATCGGAAATTCCCCTCGCCAATTTTCAATTTCCCACATCTGTACTTCATAGCTGTGTTCTAATAACAACTTATTAGAGCTCTCAGCCAACATCAAAAAGGAATTGTAAGTAAGGAATACGCCGTTTTGGCAAATCCAAGATGTTCTTCTTATTATACTGTCGTTCTTGTTATCCCGCGCCCTCTGTTCGTTCGTCTTTTGACTTTTGACTTTCGACGTTTGCAACGTTTCACCACCTTTTGGACTGGAGATGATATTCTCGTGCTGGCTCTCATGAGTTGGACCACCAGCATCGGTCACCCAAATGAACCCTAGCAATATCCCTTTGTAATTGGCTTCCTACCAAATCGACCGACTTGTATTTGCCCTGCACTTGCGGCTTGTGGGAAGTGCTACTTCCGCGCTTTTCAGAAAAATTTTAGGCGGTCTGGGGGGCAAAAAAAGTTCGGTCTCGTTATATCAGCCTATCCCTACTTCTGTGCATCCACACACGTTGGGGCCACTTCTATCCTTATTCACAATTTTCTTCATCCCTTCCCTCTAACCCAGCGCATGTCTTTATCCTATCCAGTTACGCATTCACCGTTCGCCTTGTACGTGTCGCCTTTCCTGTCCGTTGCTTCTTGCAGTCTCCCAGTTACTTCGCGCGTTGAACTCTTTAAGGCCTAGTTTTGTACTATGGCTGTTTTGTTTGATTAAGCTTTATCCTGTTCTGCTCTGCCACAAAGCTCGCCTTCCAGCGTTATCGTTGTCACGTCGCAGCGTCACTAACAATTCTTATCATAGTCTCACTCAATCAGAAACCCCTCAGCAAATCTTTTCACAATGGATTACCAAGGAACTGCCCCGGCTCCCCGAGCCTGCTACACCTGTGAGTTAAGGTTCTCTGATTATTCACCATACTTCTTCATTGTGTGCTAATCCTATCTTAGGCGGCCTTACCGGCCATCAGGTACGCCGAGATACAGCCACCTCTTTATCGTCTTAACTCGTACTGACGCAGAATTATTCAGGCCCGCGAGTGCCCTTCCAAGGGCCCCTCTAAGTGGTATGTAGCATATATTCCTGTGCTCCCGATCTGCAATGTACATGTTACTGACGAGATGCAGCTATAACTGCGGAAGTAAGTTCATTCAACGCGGAAAGTCCAGCGTGATCAGAAGGCGACTAACACTGGATGAACTTAAGATGAGGGCCATTTGAGTAAGATCATCACCACACTGAACCTTGCAGCTTGGTTCGTTATGCTGATTATGTATAGGCCGTGAATGCCCCGACGGCCCCAAGGACAACAAGTCTTGCTACCGCTGCGGCCAGCCCGGCCACATCAGCCGTGACTGCCCCCAGGGCGGCGGTAATGTTGGCGGAGGAGGATCGGGTGGCGACTGCTACAAGGTAAGGGATCCTCCCTGTATACCACCCTGTATACCCCGGTTTCCAAATCTAATCATTCCAAAAGTGCGGCGAGCCCGGCCACATGGCCCGCAACTGCCCCAAGGCCGGAGGCTACGGCGGCGGCGGCGGCGGCTACGGTGGTGGTGGTGGTGGTGGCGGCGGCGGCTACAACTCCGGCTACGGTGCCCCCAAGACCTGCTACTCGTGCGGTGGTTTCGGACACATGTCGCGTACGTATTACGGATAGATTCCGCCCATTATCGGTACTGTCAGAACTAACGTGTATTCTGCAGGCGACTGCACCAACGGCTCCAAGTGCTACAACTGTGGCGAGAGTGGTCACTTCTCCCGCGACTGCCCCAAGGAATCGGCTGGTGGCGAGAAGATCTGCTACAAGTGCCAGCAGCCAGGCCACGTCCAGGCTCAATGCCCCAACAACTAAAAAAGAAGCCGACATTCATCGGTACGGGGGTGCCCTTGCTGTTGCCTTCAGGCAGTGAGCGCAGAGATTATCGCACATATGGGCTGCTGGTTACGGTCCCTCCGGCATTACGATGAAAGCTGTTGAATATCAGCTTCTGCCTCACGATTCTTTTGTTTTTGGTTTTTCCTTTGTTTCCTCTTAACGCTCGGCAGCACGACTCGGTACATGAAATCGGCACACGGAAAGGTTTATGCAAAGCACGGATCCCGGACATCTCTCGAGCGAAACGGTCGACAAGGTGATGCCCTCTCGCGCTCGGGTTTTTCTGGGCAAAATTACACTTGCCGGTTTATTATCCTTTTGGATTATGACGGCAAACAAAACAACCCCAAAAAACGGAAGTGAAAAATGGGAGAAGAAAGAATGAACTCGCTGGAGTTGAGGACAGTGAACGAGACGGTCGGGTCTTTACTCGAGAAATCTCCTCGACTCTAGATTTCTTTCAGTCTTGGACCGGGTGGTGAAAAGGATTTTGGAGAGCTCGCTGCTCTCTCGGCGGTGAATGATACCCCAGGCGGCGACTCCTACCGAGAGTCGAGGAAGTGAATGGAAGTATGTGTTGAATCTATGAACTTGGTTCTCGATGATCGGTGTTTCTGGTGATGTTCTCGAGGCTGTTGTACTCCCGCCATTCAAGTAATCTGGTAAGTCTAGTCGCCCCTCTAGATGGCGGGTTGTCTACTATAAAATTGTATGGAATATATAGCCTAACCTAACCCAAACAGCACAAGAAAAGACCATCGCCTGGTATAAACCGTCGGTAGATTTTCGCGCTCCACTAAGCGGGCCATTCTCCCGCCCCGAAGAAGCCGTTGTCAAGATTCTCGGCTGCATATATAACACTATAACGCCTTGGTGGTCGCAGCTCGCTTTCTCATAGCCTCTCCTTCGGCATATGGCGCATCGCTTGCCGGACTGCGAGATCGCCCAAGATGCTCTCCTCGCCTCCGAGCACGGCATCGAACTTGTTAGAACGATTGAACATCTCGATGACACGGCCCATGCCTGTTCGGGTCAAAGCACGACCACCCCAGATACTAACGGCTTCATCGGCAATATCGTGAGCAGCACGCGTGGTTGATGTCTTGAGGAGGGCGATGGGGCCGCCCAAGTACTTCGCTTGTTCTTGGTAAGGCATCTGACACATCTGGTAGGTGATGGTTTCCAGCCAAGATTGGTTCGCCTCGGTCAACGCGATCATTTTGGCCAGCCTATTGCAAGGGGCAGGCAAGGTTAGCCAGGCAAGAAAGGTGTCCGGGGGGCCCCGCGGTCACTCGGGTCCGCCGGGAGTAGATGTTTTTTGCGGTACTTACTTTTGCCTGATCACAGGCTGGTCGATGAGGGGCTTGCCGAAAACGATCCGCTGATTAGCCCATTTGAGGGATTCTTCGACCACGTTTCGACACATGCGGACCGTGGCACCTTTCGATTTTCCTGTCAGCTTGTTTCCAGCCCCATGGTCGAGTGGTCATGATGGGAGAGGCGCGAAGGTGGGTGGGAAGAAAACTTACATGCCATCGTCCACCGCTCGTGGTTGAAATTGCTCAGCACAACGTGGATTCCCTTGTTCTCCTGGCCCAGCAAGTTCTCGGCAGGGACCTTGACGTTGTCAAAGGTGATATAGGTGGTCCCCGCAGCAGGGGAGTAGCTCGTCTTGATGGGCTTCGTCTCGACGCCCTCGCCGCGCTCGATCAAGAGGACACTGAGTCCCTTCTCCGTGCGGACGGCGGTGACGAAGTAGTCGGACCAGACACCGTTGGTGATCCACTTCTTCGTACCATTAACAATATAGTGGGACCCGTCGGCGGACTTGCGGGCGGTGGTGCGGATGCCGGACACGTCGCTCCCGGCGAAGGCCTCGGTGATGGCGAGGCAGAGCTTCTTGCGGCCGGAGAGGACCTCGGCGCTGACGCGATCGCGGAGGGCGGCGCTGTTGGCGAAGTTGAGGACGACGGTCAGGCCGATGGTCATGCCGGCCATGTTGCCGTCTTGGAAGCCGCGGGCGCCGGTGCGGGCCAGCTCCTGCGCGACGATGAGGTCGTGGAAGTAGTCGAACTCGGCGGGGTCGACGACGCCGCCCAGGATCTCGACGCCGCGGAGGTGCGGGCCGGGGCCGAGTCGCATGTGCAGCACGCCGTTGGCGGCCATGCGGTCGATGAGCTCCTGGGAGATGTACTCGCCGGACTCCTCGGCATCGCGGGCCTCGGGGGTTACGTGGCGGTCGGTAAACTCGCGCATGGCCTTTTGGAGGCGGCGGTGGGAGTCCTTGTAGTAGGGGTTTTGGCGGGAGAAGGGGGGCGCTAGCCAGGTCGGCTCGGCGTAGGGAACGCGGGAGAGTTCGCCGGGTCCCGGGTTCACCACCTGCGAGGTCTCGCCGCGGATAGTTCCGACGAGGAGGGTGCGGTCGTATCTGGTGAGGACATCGTGACGGTGGAGGTTATAGAAGTCGGTGGTGGCGTCGCGGCCGGCCACTTGGCGGAGGACGGCGGCACCGCCCGGGTGGGCGTCGAGGAAGTCTGTCAAGTCGTAGACTTTTGAGTCGATGATTGTCCAAAGCGAGTCGTCGTTGTTGTGCTTGGCGACTTCGTCGCGAGTGAATGTCTCTTGAGGAGCCATGGCGACACACCCTATGGTCTGGGTGGTTGGTTCTCTCCGACAGAGGTTTGAAGGTAGGTAATAATCGAAGGAGTGTCCAGTGAGTAATCAATGGCGAAAGCATATATAATGTCGACAGTTCGTGGGTAATCAGAGTGAAGGAAGAAAAGTTGCAAAATGACCAGATTAATCAAGGAACTCGTGGGCGCGAGGACATTCTTACTGCGTGTCGGCTTTGGGAGCCTCGGCTCGGCTTCAGATGTCATATTCGTCTGGGGGAAGATGGGAGCTTGGACCATATGCTGAGCATCGACGTTTATATGATTGGTCATTTGGGCCGATCTCCCAGACTTGTCTCCACTCCGGGGCGTGCCAACTGTCAGTGACCGTGTCCCCCGGTGAGGGGGTATTCGACAGCTGGTTTTTACTAAAATAGCGAGGAACGTCGAAAAGAGTGCAAGACGAAATTGTCCTCTCTAGCGTGCTCCCCACGCTCCCGAATGGCGAATGGTTAGGCTCCTTTTGTTTTTCTTTCTCATCATCCTTCGAGTGCCCGAGTTGGCGAGTTGGCGAGTTGGATCGTTCTTCAAACTCCCTGTTCCATTCGGACTTTGGAGTTTTAACCCCGGCGTCTCGGGATTGCACACTGCGGATCTACCACCCCTTTTGGGCATCCTCGACACTTCGAGATCATCACTCCCTGGTACTCAAGACGGTTTAGACCCAAAGGCTGCCATTCCTGGGTCATCCCTTTTCGTCATATTCTTGTTGGCATGCTGCTGCAGTCGAGCCGTCCATGTCGAATACCACCTAGTCTGGTGTAGCCAGGTGAGTATGTGTGCTTTTCCTTTCAAGGACACGCCATTTCAACTGTGCCTTTGTCATGAAGCATCGTTGAGATGCCCATGTACAGAGTCACAAAGTGAGAGCAGTGGTACCTAACGAGTGAAGGGTTGTCGGCTTATAATTCTACAAGATCTGATTTCTCTTCCATAACCAACATCACCTCTTCTCCCCCCCTTTCCATGATGTAAGATGGTTATCGAGAGTTTCATCCGGCCACGCAATCTTTCCCGGGCGATCCTTTCCGGTATCAAACTGTATGGAGTAGATTTGTTTATGTATTTCCCTCGTTTCTCTCTCTATTTTGTCCCCTTTATCTATCCAACCAAGAGCACGGGAGCAGAGGGACGAGAACGATTGGCTGATCCAACAAAAGAGCTAGTTGGCTCCTCCTACTAAGGTACCTCAAGTGTAGCATGCCACCCTGAGCCAAATCCCATCATCCGAAATCGGGGATTCAAGGCCTAGGCGGAGTCCTTGGAGGGCAGCTTCTCACCGAAGAAATGCTCACCTCCCACCCTTATCTCCCAGTTGCGCATCTTGCCGCCACTACAACGCTTGCACACCACGTATTGCCATGCAGTGCACGGCACGCTTCTGGCCTTTGGCCACGCCATGATCTCCTGTCCCTGACCAGGTAGTGCCGATGGACATGGGACCGCGTTCCGTCTTTCTCACGTTCCCGAGGACATGATAGATTTATAATCCCCGCTGATACCTCTCATTCAATTGCTCTATCTGCCCTGAGTCCTGAGCGAGGCAGAAGGCAATAACGGCGTGCGTTGGAACGTGTATCCCTTCCGTATCCCTTTATGGAATCGCCTCCCCGTTGACTTGTATCCGCCCCATGCTCCCCGTTACTCCACGATATATGGCCTAGACACAAGTGTATCAGACTCGCCTCCGTAACCTCCCTCTGCAAAACACCCCCTTATTCCTGGTCAGAAGACCACACCCTGCGCAGCTTGGACCTACTCCAATAATAAGAGGAACACCAAGCAGCTGTTGCAACATCACACACCTTCGATGCCAACTTATTTCTATTCCGTTTCTTCCCATGACCGACCTTAAATCGTCTCATATGATTTTGATTTATTCCCAGCTGTTTGATTACTTGTAAAACTCGTCCTTGTCCACATGGATGCTCACTACATTACGTACGCAAGCACATCTCTCCGTGATTCCTCCAAGATATACCAGGACCTTAGGTCCACCCGTCTATACAGCATCGTCGGGGCTCAGAAAACCCGACTTCTGGGATCACTTGCTATGGACTCTCTCGAAAAGGTAATCAAAGTACATCCAACTTTCCAATTCTTCGTGAAAACGAGGAAGATAAAATGAGCAATCAACATTATGCTAACGGTGTTTTGTTTTCTTTTTCCCCCCAGCAGAAGTTCTCTGATTTGGACGGACAGCCTCATATAGGTATCGTGGGCGCTGGTCTCGCCGGTTTGCGTTGCGCCGACATTCTGTGCCGGTATGGATTCCGCGTCACCATCGTCGAAGGTCGCGACAGAATCGGCGGCCGTATGGTTCAGGAACGGCTTCCCAACGGCCACTTGGTTGACCTAGGGCCCAATTGGATCCACGGTACCAGCGAAAATCCCATGCTGGATCTCGCGAAGCAAACGAACACGGCAGTTGGAAGCTGGGACACGCGGACTTCCATGTTCGATGAGTCTGGCAAACTCTTTCATCTCAACGACAGTGAAAACTATTCCGAGATTATGTGGGATATTGTGCAGGACGCTTTCAGGCATTCTAATAAGCACTGGACGACGATTCCCGCCGAAGAGAGCCTCTGGGACTTCTTTCAGAAGAAGGTGGTCGAACGAATCCCCGAAACTGAAGCGGACTTTGAGCGAAAACGCAACACCGTCCTCCAGGTGTCTGAGCTCTGGGGTGCATTTGTGGGCAGCCCTATTACTCGACAAAGTCTCAAGTTCTTTTGGCTGGAGGAGTGTATCGAGGGCGGTAAATATCCCCCCCTTTTTTTCTTCCTTTTTTTTTCTTTTCCTCTTGCCATTTGCCATTTCTTTTCATTCCTTTATGTAATCTGCGCAAACGAAAGGCATACTGACCATCAGAATAGAAAACCTCTTCTGCGCTGACACTTACCACAAGATTCTCGAAACCATAGCGAGGCCGGCAAAAGAGCACGCAACCATCATGTACAACACGCGGGTGGAGAGGGTTGAGCTACGAACGCAGGATCGACCACACCCCAGGATACGCACCAGCGGGGGTGCCATTCTCGAATTTGACGAAGTGATCCTGACCGCGCCGCTGGGGTGGCTCAAAAGGAACCTCGCCGCGTTTGACCCCTCGCTCCCAGAAAGACTTCAACAAGGAATCAACTCCATCGGCTATGGATGTCTCGAGAAGGTTAGCGTGTTATTCCTTGCATGACGTGCTCTTTGACTCCAAATGCATTGACACCAGACTAGGTCTACATCAGCTTTCCCAAGGCGTTTTGGCTCGTCCCCGACTCCGAAGGCCGGGTAGTGCAGGGGTTCTGCCAGTGGTTGGCGCCGAGATACGCCCCCGAGACAAACCCAAGGAAGTGGAACCAGGAGATCGTGGAGCTGGCCTCGTCAGGCCTTGCTACCTCACACCCCACGCTCCTGTTCTATATATACGGGGAGGAGTCTCAGTTCATCACAGAAGAACTGGGCAAGATGCAGACGGAGGAGCAGCGGGACGGCTTTCTGTACAGCTTCTTCAAGCCGTACTACTCGCGGCTCCCGCAGTACGACGAGGCATCGCCGGACTGCCAACCGACCGGGTGCCTGGCGACGGACTGGCTGCACGACGACTTGGCCGGCAATGGCAGTTACAGCAACTTCCAAGTGGGCCTCGAGCAAGGCGATAAGGATATCCGGACCATGAGAGACGGAGTGCCGGAAGGGGGGTTGTGGCTGGCTGGGGAGCACACGGCCCCTTTCGTGGCGCTGGGCACGGCGACCGGGGCGTACTGGAGTGGAGAGAGTGTAGGGAGGAGGATAGCGGAGGCTTATGGACGGGAGATGGAGACGGATAAGTCGTAAGATGCCAGTCTCGGAGGGCATTGGAACCCCTTTTGTATTTTAGCTTCTAGGTAGTATTACTCTTTTCGTGCTTCGATGTTGCTTCCAAGACGATGTGCCTTCCAAGACGATGTGCCTTCCAAGACGATGTTGCTTCCAAGATGGTACTCACGAATCACGAATCATGAATTTTAAAAACGATTAATGATAAGACTTATTTTGAGCTCACATGAAGGGCTTTAGTATGTATGGATAGGCAAAGAACAGTTTGATGATACAAGTAAAGAATATGCTTGTATCAACTTGCCTTCTTTTCTTTTCTTCCTCCCAATACCCCCCCTCCTTTTTTCCCCCCTCTCATCATGATTGGTTATTTTTACACTCCTTGCTAACACCACATTCTGCCATGTCAAGTTGGCCGCAGGGGGTGGACGGTGGTGTCAACAGATTGTGCTTCAGATCGCGGAGTTGGGCTTATCATTAGGCTTCCACGAAGACGTCGACTCGTTCCATAGCCGTTACGATCTGAAATGTACATATTGCATGCATACGTAGGTGTTTGGGGGAAGTTTCTGGCAAATTTTGAAGCTGACACGAACAAATCAAGTAGCGTTGGCTCCTCGGTATAAATAGGAGGACGACATTTCAGGTTGCGACGCGGTCACGAGCGTCTTTGACATTGGTGCAGCAATCAAGTGCCAATGTGGGTGTGGGGTCGATGTTAGGTACTTCGTACCTTAGGTAGCGGTACCTGTGAGGCATCGCCATGTCAAGCAGGTGCCCCTCTTTGAGCAAGCCAGTCCCCGTATCCGTAATATAGTGTCAGGAAGCGTGATCACGGGACTGGGGTCCCACATATTGTTAACAATCGACATTACCTCACTGGGCATCCTGCTCAGACATATGTACAAAGGCGAGCTTGAACTAACATACCTTACCCATACCCCTTAATACAAAGGTGATGGCTTGTTAAGGACATGTACCTACAGGTACAACAGCAAGGTCCGGTCCAAGGTACTAACTCCGTACTTACCTCTCCAGGCTTCAGCCCATCCGACCACCGGGGTCCCTCAACCTACCTTACTCCGTACATACTTTTGTTCTTCGCCCTGTTAGATTTACTCCTTACACAGTAATCCCCCTTCGAAAGCCTTCTGACCGCCCATACCCTACAGCCTTATTTACCGTTAAATCCCAGCCGGTCTCTGCCCGTCTTGCATCGTCGCTTTTGATGACGACCACACGATGACCTGCATCCCCGCTGTAGGCCGCGGCTCAACTGATAGCACGCCCGCCACTGCTTCGCCCTCCGGCTTCCGGTGAGCAACAGCCATTTTCTGGAGCCTGTTGGGCTCCTCCTCTCCTCATCCGTCCATTCAACCACTTCTGTCATCCGGGCCGGCACTTCCCGTTCCCGGTTTCGAAGGCTTCCCACTCCATAAAGTCCTCCGAGCTCCGCCCTCTATCCCGTTTTCTCGCTGTCGCCGGTCATCGAGACCAGCTGGTTGCCGCCCAATATGGCTACCTTCTTCCAAAGTTTCCGGAGCTCTACCATGCCAAAGCGGCTGCTCCGCTATGCCCTTTCCCGGCTGGAGCTCCTCGAAGATGAGACCCTCGATCTCGACAACCTGGACTTCGCCCTGGGTCGGAATACAACGTTTGAATTCAGGGATGTTGGAGTGCGCTTGAAGGTTCGTCGGCGCCCCCCCCCCCCCCCCAATTCGTGCTCTGTGTCTCGAAGCCGGGGCCATGGTGTCTTCCTCGGACCATGCTGACCTTTGCTTGCCCCGGTGATAGAAACTCGAACAGATGCTCAAGCTACCACCTTCCTTCAAACTGCAACGAGCCAAAGTCCTGAGGCTGAATGTCACGATTCCCATGGATTTCTACACAAGTCCCATCATTGTCGAAGTTGATGGCGTCGATATTCGCTTGAAAATGTCCGGGCGGAACGAGGAAAAGGGGAAAAATACTAGCAAAACACGCCGCCGGGCCGACGTCGTCCCTCACACCTTCGATCTTGCTGCTTCGTTTCTTGAGACTCAACCTCCGGATGAGAAGAAGAGATTGCAAGACGCGTTGGAGGCCGAGACACAAGATTTTGGAGCTTCAGTTTCCCTGAGCGATAGCGCGATTAGTGAAGAGGACGAGTCTGGCTTCGGCACGGGAGAGCCCCTCTCGCTTCCCGCTTTTCTCGCCGACTTCCTCCAAGGCATCGTCGACCGTACCCAGGTCCATATTCAGGGCGTCACTTTCCAGCTAGATGTTGAAGTCCCCCTGGAAGCCAGCCCGACCGCTACTGATATCGTCACTTTCCAGATTGCGCTCGACCGTATAGACGTTGAGGGCGTCACGACCGAAGTGAGCGATGGCTCTGGCGAGTCCCTGATCCAACCCAAGGAGGGAAAGCGCAACATTGCCCTTTCGCAAGTGCGGGCGTTCCTCATCTCCGAAGCTAACGTCTTTTCGATCTTCTCCCGGTCACCGTCCGTGTCTTCTCCTGTTGTATCGCAGACGTCCTCCTTTTCTGAGCCTGTCCCCGCGTCTCCTAGTCCTACAGCCGAATCATCAACACCCATTATACCCCACCTCCATGATAGTCGGCTTGACGATTCGGTCCACCTCAACGAGATTGACGAAGCACTCCTGCACGACAGCGAAGCTGCCTTGCAAATCCCGTACGAACTGGACGATGATCCTGAGCAGGAGGAAGAGAACGGCAATACCCCTCGGGCGTCATTACACCAAGAATCTTTCCCCTTCCCGGGGATCCCGTTTCGCTCGAATGACTTGTCTGGTGAGGTTCACGAATCTCCTTGGGTGCATTCCGAACTCCCGGTACAACCGACATCGCAGCCCTCTTTCGACCTGCTTCAAGAGGAAGCAGAAGAGACTCCCCTGCCTGAATCCGGGACCCTTTGGGCCTCCCAGTGCTCTCCCACGGGCTGTCAGAGTCCAGAACTCAAGGCCGACGACGACCTGGCCCAGTCTCACCTTTTCACTCACGAGGAAGCTGAGAGCATGTACATGAGCGCCTTCTCCCACACGAATTCCGAACACCTGCCCTCGCAGGCGCCGGGAGAGTGGCACTCGCAGCTTGAACCATCTCCCTCGTCTCTCAATGCGACCACGGAATCACGGCAGCCGTCTTCACCTACAAAGCCAATCTCTATGGAGAGTGAGTTCATGCACCAAGGAACGGACGATAGCAGTTCGTTTTTACCCACAACAGAAGCCTCGCATCCGACTTCGCCTCCACAAGCCGAACATGAGGAATCCGACGAGGAATCAGCGCAGCCACAACCAATACCTGAGGCTAGTGAGGACAACGCTGTTGAGCCGTCCCAGGATGATGTGGCAACTCCTCGCGGTCCAACTAGACTCGCCAAGGAGATCATCGCACTGGATCGTATTTCGATTTATATTCCATCCCGCCACAAACATCTCCACGTGCAGCCAGCGATAGCAGCGTCAGCGGCGCAATCTACGATGTCCTCAGCGAGGAGCGTTAACTCCGCTGCGGCAGCCATGCCAGGGGCGTTTTCGACCTACCCTACGTCTCCAAGATTGGAGGCGAGCATCCCTCCTCAACCCAAGCCTGCTCAGCCCACTGAGCCACAAGCCGATGATGCGCTTGAAGTGTTTCTGTCGCCTCTGGAAATTCGCTTTGATGCGTCCCTTGGTTTCCTTCTTGCCACCGTGGTCGGAAAACTGCTGGAGGCCATAAACGGGGCCATTGAAGCGAGCGCAGAAGCGGGCGAGGCGACAACACAGGGCCAGCAACACCAGCCGAAGGACCAGTCAAGCGACGGCCAGCTACCAGCCATCAGGGTTTGCCTTGAAAGAATTTCTCTCCTCTTCCTCAACCAGCTAAGAGGTGTGGCTGATACAGCCGAGAGGATGATGAGCTCTTCTGGTATGCACCACCTTCAACCGGAAATTCTCCTTCAAACAGTTCTGGAAAACGTCTCCATCTGTTCCAAGACTCAGGGAGCGACGAGGGAAACAAAGGTCGACCTTGGGAGGTTCAAGTTTGGTTATGCCAACGACGACATTGTCTGCTTCGATCAAAGTCTACAGATGCGAGCATCTGTGAGAGACGAGTTCCCTTCGGCCGGAGCTGACGTTTCGGTACTGGTAACCAAGTCCTCCGACTCCACGAGAACGAAAGTTACGACATTACCTCTGCTAGTGCAACTCGACCTACAACGACTGGATGAGACATTCAGTTGGTTTGGGGGTCTGAGCAGCTTCCTGAACGTAAGCTCATCGATGGCGTCGAGCCCTTCGTCATCCATTAAGAACCCGGTTCAGGTGGTTCAGGTTCAACAGCATCAGAAGCCAAGGGGTGTTCGTTTCCAAACGCCAATCAACCCCAACGACAAATCAGCGGCTTCCGAGAACAAAGTGGACATGCGAATTGGGGGGTTCAATCTAAAACTCAACGGGAAAGATTGCAGCGCTGCGCTAGAGACAAGTGCCGTTAAGATGATCAGCAGGGATACGGTTATTGTCTTTTCCACCAGCAAGGCACGTCTGGCCGGTCCTTTCTTGAGAAACTCTAGGGCGGGCCCTCCGATCGTCGCGGAGATGGACGCGATTCGCTTCGACTTTCAGAACCACCCCATGGGCAAGGACCTGGAGCGCCTGCTCGAACTCATTACGCCATCCAAAGCCAAATTCGACGAGGGGGACGACGAGATCATGGTTGACACCCTGCTGCGGCAGAGGCGTAAGGGCGCAGTTCTCCTCGTCTCCCTAGGTCGGCTCAATGTCAAGGTCAGCCGCATGGAACAGCTTGGCTGTTTATCTACTCTGGGAGAAGAAGTGTCGCGTCTTTCAACGGTCGCCAAGTACCTGCCCGAGGATGACCGCCCAGGCCTACTCACTCTGGGCAACATTGGCGTCGCTCATGCTTCCCTTGACTTTGGGGGCAAGGTCGGCACTTTCTATGCCGGTTTAAAGGAGTTGGATGTCGCTCACATCACTTTCCCTTCGCTGGTGGCTCTTGGTGTTAGTCATGTTTCCCTGAATAGGAACGAGCGCGAAGACCTCATCAGCTCTCCTGATCCGTCGAGCCTGGGAGCGTCATCCCAGGGTCCTGTGGTGATGATGCGCATGGTCGGCGACGAGATGGAGCCTGCCATCAAGGTCAGGATGCGAGACGTTACCTTCGAATACCGCGTGCCAACTGTGATGGACGTGCTGGGCCTCGCGGCTGATGCCACACCCCAGGACTTCGAGGCTACTTTAGCCGCTTCCGTGGCCAATCTTGGCGAACAAGCGCACCTTGCACTTCACAAGAAGCGGTCTCCAATCTCCCGGCCGGGTGAATTGAAGCAATCGCACAACAAGCCAACGAAGGTTGACGTGGTCTTCAGACACTGTTTTGTCGGGCTGAACCCGCTCGACCGCATGTCGAAGCTTGTCATTGCTTTGACCGATGCCCGCTTTGAGGTCGGTCTCCCCAAGGATGTGGACACAGCGGCGACGTTTCACATCAACAAGGCCTCGCTGCTTCTCACGGATGATGTGTCGAAAATGCCGGACCAGGACGGGCAGCGCGCGCTTCGTCGCAATCCCCAGGACAGATCGTCACAATGGACCTTTGAGCTCATGTCTCGAGGATTCGTCAACATTTGCTACATTTCAGCCGCCAAGGTCAATGTCAAGGTCATAGGCAACGGTGAGGATGGCGAAAAGCAAGTCGACATCGAACTCCGCGATAATCTCTTGATTCTCGAAACGTGCGCGGACTCGACCCAGACTCTCATATCCCTGGCCAATGCGTTGACCCCGCCTACGCCGCCGAGCAAGGAGGCCAAATACAGGACGGAGGTCGTGCCTGTCCAAGATCTGCTGGCCTCCATTTCGAACGAGGCTTTTGGCAGAGCGGAAGGTGTCTACGACTTTGATGCGGACTTCCCTTTGGTCGAGGCGGTTGGAAGTGACGACGATTTCGATTTCCCCACGGGCTCTGGTACCCTGCCGGCGACGTCTCAGCATCATGTGGATACGTCGACAGCCGAGCCACTATTTGATGCCGGCAACCCACTCATGTCTGGTAGTCTCGGTGACTCTGCCGCCGGGAGAGGGAAGGGTGCTGAAGGTTTGGGAGCCAACCTTCATAGTAGCACATCGGACGTCTCAGATACAACCAGCGAACTGGTGATGGACGAAGACTACTTCACCAAGAAACCAGATTTGGACTCGTTTGCGTGGGTATGGAATTCGACCAACAACTGCTATGACAGAGCAACGCCTGACCTGGTCAAGCGGAGTCCCGTACGGGTGTCGGTCCGCGATGTTCATGTTATCTGGAACCTGTTTGATGGTTTCGACTGGGACCGGACGCGCAATGAAATTACAAAGACGGTCGAGAAAGTCGAGCACAAAGCAATGGAACGCCGAAATGCGGTCAACGAAGAAGAGGACGAGGTGGACGTGATCGGCGACTACCTGTTCAACTCGATTTACATTGGCATCCCGGCGAATCGCGACCCCCGCGAGCTGGCTCAGATGATTAACGACGATCTGAACGACGGCGCCACATTCACTGAAACGGAGTCGATAGCCACGACGGCCGTCACAGCGACGGGCGGTCGCGGCGGACCCAAAAAGAAGAGGAAGTTGAGGTTGGACCGAAGCAAGCGGCACAAAATAACCTTCGAGCTTCAGGGAGTCCATGTCGATGCGATTCTGTTTCCGCCCGGTTCTGGAGAGACGCAAAGCTCGATCGACGTCCGTGTCCATACGCTCGAGGTATTCGACCACGTTCCGACATCGACATGGAAGAAATTCGCAACGTATGACAAGGATGCGGGAGAGCGGGAAATGGACACAAGCATGGTCCGCATCGAGCTTCTCAACGTCAAGCCGAACCCAGACCTCGCTGCGTCGGACATCATTTTGCTGGTCAACGTGTTACCTCTCCGGCTCCATGTGGACCAAGATGCGCTCGACTTCATCACGCGCTTCTTCGAGTTCAAGGATGACGCTGTGCCGGTGCACAGCTCGCCTAGTGATGTGCCGTTCCTCCAGAGAGTCGAAGTGATGGATATCCCGGTGCAGCTCGACTTCAAACCCAAGCGTGTCGACTACGGGGGGCTCAAGTCCGGTCGGACAACAGAATTCATGAACTTCATCATCCTCGATCAGGCGCACCTCACTCTGCGCCATACGATCATTTACGGGGTGTCGGGGTTCGACAGGATGGGCAAGACGCTGAACGACATCTGGATGCCGGACGTGAAGGAGACGCAGCTCCCCGGTGTGCTGGCCGGCCTGGCTCCCATTCGGAACCTGGTCACGATCGGCAGCGGCTTCAAGGACCTCATCGAGATCCCCGTCCGAGAGTACCAAAAGGACGGGCGCATCTTCCGCGGCATCAAGATGGGTGCGACGGCTTTTGCGCGCACGACGGGGACGGGGGTGGTCAAGCTCGGTGCCAAGGTGGCGATCGGCACGCAGTCGGCGCTTCAGGAGGCGGAGGGACTGCTCTTGTCGAAGCCGGCGGCGGCGGAGGCGACGTCGTGGGACGGCGACGATCCGAGCGACACGGACGAGCAGCCGAAGAAGATCAGCCTCTACGCCGAGCAGCCGATGGGTGTCATCCAGGGGCTCCGTGGCGGGTATGCGGGCCTCGCTCGTGACTTGAACCTGGCCCGAGACGCCATCATTGCCGTTCCTGGCGAGGTGATGGAGAGCCAGAATGCAAAAGGTCTGGCCAAGGTGATGATGAAGCGCGCGCCGACGATCGTGTTCCGACCCGTCATTGGAGCGAGCAAGGCCATCGGTCAGACACTGATGGGGGCGACCAATGCACTCGATCCGGAGAACCGCCGCAGAGTGAGCGAGGTGAGTCGATTGTGTAGTGACCGCTCTCACTGTTTTGAAAAAGGATATTGTGCTGACGCGTCTGTTTGATTGTAGAAATATAAGCAGTACTCAACTTCTGGCGGTATTTGAAGAAGCAAGCCCCCTGTCTGTATCTTTTGCTCAGCGCGGTCGGTCGCAATGAAATCAGCCAGGCGTTTATCTCGCCGCATCGTTATTGTGTTCTTATTTTCTTCTCTGTTTTTCTCTCCTTTTCCCGGTCTACTGGGCGGATATCTCTCATGACAACGTGGACCATGAACAGGGCAGCGTTGCAATTTTTTGTTTCTTTTCCTTTTTTTCTTTCTTTATTTAGAACAGGGCACATGGGAACAGGCTGGTCGGCGATGGAGGTGTTCTCGATCTCTGGTGTAATAATGCTACTTTTTACACTCCCATTTCCTTTTATTCTCCCGTTTCTTCTGCTTCTCTTCCTTTTGCCGCTTTCGTTTATTTTGCACCCGGACTGGACAACGATACCCTAGAGAAAGACGCATTCTGCTCTCCTTTTTGTTTGCCGCCTGCGAGAGACATCCTGGTGACGAGCATGGCCTGAGGTAGAAAGGGGGCGGAAGAGTGTAGGATGGCACGGTCGCTCGTTTGAAGTAGTTGCTCTTCTTTTGGTCCTGGGGGTTTTGCTTTGTCTAGGCATGCAAAGTGATTATGGGTGGTGGAGTTGGAGGCTTGAAGCACTTGGCTTAGATTGAGATGTGCGTAGAGACGAATCGCAGAATGACAGACAGGATATATATATACATTTATAAATATGTATAGTTTGCGCGGATTATGTTGATGGTTCGTCTATGCCTGGGAGTCTATACGTGTGTGGAGATTGTTCATTATCCAACTGAATTTTACGCGTCGTTCCAACGAGAAAGAATAAGCCAAAACAATAAATATATATATATGAAAAGAAAAAAAAGGAAAAGAAAAAAAAAGGAAAAGGAAAAAGCAAGGGAAAGAAAAGGGAGAAGAAGAGGATCAGAAGACAGCAGACCGAGCCAGCCGCCCCTCGTCTCTACAACCCATCATCGATCCCGCGGTCCCGCTCGGCAGCCCTCCTCTCGGCATCGTACTCGGCCCACCAGCGATGGGTGACGTCGTCGTCCGGGTTGGCGGGACCGTTCCAGCGGCCGTCCGGCCCGCGCTCATCCCAGGGCTTGGGGGCGAGGATGTAGTGGACGACGCGGACGCGGTCGTCGCGCCAGATGGCGTCGTGGACGCCGGGCCAGCGGAGGGTCTTGAGGGCGTTGTAGACGTAGGGGAGGGCGACCCAGCGGGCGCGGAAGAGGTCGCTGAGGAGGCTCTGGTCGGCGAAGTCCATGTTGGCGGCGCCGCGCTCCATGTGGTCGAGGATCTGGGCGTAGAGGGCCTTGGACGGGTTGACGACCTGCAGGCCGCCGTTCATGTAGCCGAGGGGGCTGTCGGTGGTGGGGTCCGGGCCCGTGTGCTGGGCGAGGTCCGGGGTCTGGTGCTGGGTGGTGAAGGCGCAGTTGGAGGGGAGCCAGTCGGGCGGGTAGTGGGGTTTGCGGAGCGGGTTGCAGACGCAGGCGTGGCCGGCGGCGAAGACGCGGCTGCTGGTGGACTGGTTGGCCGGGTCGGAGGAGACGGCGGGGTCGTCCAGGGGCAGGGTCATGAGGTCGTCGATGTTGTGGCGGACAAGCATGTCGGCGTCGAGCTGGACGACGCGGGTGTACTGGGTCAGGCTGAAGGGGGTCAGCTTGGACCAGCAGTCGTAGAAGCGCGGGTCGTTGGAGTAGTCCCGCCCCTTGGTGGGCAGGAGGTACTCGATGCGCTGTTTCGGGATGCCGCGGCGGTCGATGGCTTCATGGGCGGAGGCGGGAACGGTGTCGGTGTAGAGGGCTACGAGGGGATAGCGGGAGCCATGCTTGCGGAGGGAGTAGTCGAGGGTGAAGAGGCCGGGTAGGTAGGCTTCGTTGGTTATGAGGACGGTGTAGACTGAAGCGGGAGCAGGAATTCGGGTTAGTCAGGACGGGAGAAAGAAGGAGGAGAAGAATTAGGAGGGGAGAAAGGGCGAGGGGCGAGGGGCGAGGGGCGAGGGAGATGGTTGCCTTTGTCCGAATCTACTACGCGTTTTCCGTCAGCCATGGCGGTGATAAGGTGATTATAGGTAGGTATGGGAGCAGCTAGGGCTGCAAAGAAGTACTAAAAGGGGGATATTGGATTGGAGGACCTATAAAATATGTATATATATAAAAGATTGAGAACGTATTGTTGGTGTTGAGGGCCTCGGGAGATCAACGTTGAGCTTTCGCGACGATTCAGGTCTGGGTCTGGGTGGGGTCTCACGGTTCAACGGCTCAACGAAAAGGGAAGGTGGGGGAGGGGTTTACGGGATGTACTAAGGTAATACGAGTATTTTCACGTACACGTAGACGCGATTCAGTGTCTGAATCAGGAGAAACGGACGTTTATTGACTTCTGAGGTACGGAGGACGTATTTGCCTGTGTACGGGCACCTTACTTAGGTACCTTAGTACGGACGACAATGTATACCTAAGTTACGAAGTACCTGACACTGTAGTGCTTCATCTCATGACGCCATCGCGGGGTCGAAGAGCCATGTACGTGTAGCATTATCTTTTTTTAATATTGTCTTTTTCTTCTCATTCTTCACCCAGTTGCAGTCGAAAGAAATATAGACGAACCATGATACCTTATTTTAATAGAGCCCTCTATTCAGTTGCTTCTCATATGGAGTAGTCATCGCCATGCTGCTGCCCTGATCACCGGCCCAGACCTTGGTCACGACCGCAGGGTCCAGTGACGATCTAAGAAAAGAGTCGACAACCCGGCCTCAGATCCCACGACCGAGATGATGCATTCTCCTCATCTTCATACTTGGAAAGATGATGAATAGTCTTGTTTGTCTGTCACTCACTCACTTCTCTTATCCAACCCCCGAATGGTCGCAAATATCTAAGTGGAAGGGATTTCGACACCATGGGAGGTCTATAAGCTCTCCTTATAAAGGGAAAGATATCATTAAGGCTATGCTATTATTTAGTTAGACATGTTCCCGCAACATCTTACTTCATCTTCGTCTTTATTTTCTATTGCGCCCCAATCGCTAGCGGATTGGTAAACACATTCCTCCGGTCATATCTCTTCTTAATCTCGGACAGCTCGGCCACATTGCTCCCGTAGTACGACTCCAGGGGTGGGGTAGAGATCCTATTGTCCATGTATCCCGCATAGGAGGCAGGTCTGTCATGCCTAGGTCAACCCATTGCCACGCGAAGAAAGAAGCGAAAAGAAAAAAAAAAAAGGACCTACCCGACTATCGGCCTAAGGAAAGCCTCGGTCTCTTCAAACCAGTTGACCAACCCGTCCTGGGCCTCCTCGTCCTCGGACCCCCACGCGACCATCTCCAGATGCGAGTAGGCCTGCTCCCGCCAGGGGAAGGCCGAGTCGCCCGAAACGGAGATGTTCCAGGCATGCCACTCGTAGAAGGGAACGCCGGCGGGGTCCAGCAGGTCCAGCCGGCTCACGAGCTCGTCAATCACCTCGCCGTCGGGGATGTTGTCCCTCTGCACAAAGTACGAGCTCGCGACACGGATCGCCCGGGGCCAGGGCATGGCGGTGGGCAACTCGGGCGCCTGGGGCCGCTGGTCCCAGTCGAAGACGGGGAAGCCTTCCAGGGGTGTGAAGGGCTGCTGGATCGTGTTGAGCGCGTAGGGGGCGATCTGGTCGGCCACCTCGTCGGGCGGGCAGGCGTCGCCCAGGTAGCCGACCGCGCGGGCGGCGTTGGTGCCGCAGCCGCCGGAGTAGTGTACCTCGGGCAGGCCCAGGGACGGCAGCCCCGACTCGGCGACGATGGACCGCAGCGTGTCCTCGGCGCAACCGAAGCACCAGCCCAGGAACTCGACGCTGTGCTGGTAGATGAGCAGCTGGGAGGTGAGGGCCGGGTCGGCGCGCGGGGCCCACGCGTGCCAGGCCTTGGCTACCTCGGCGCGGGCGTCCTGGCCGGCGGCGGTGGCATTGCCGGTGGCATTGCCGGTGGCATTGCCGTTGGCGTTGGCGTCGGCGTCGGCGTTCCAGCGCATCAGCACCATGGAGGAGCGGGGGTACTCGCGCAGGGCGAGGGTCCACTCGACGACGATGCCGTAGGAGCCGCCGCCGCCGCCGCGGATGGCCCAGAAGAGGTCCGGGTTCTCGTCGGGCGAGGCGGTGACCTGACACCCGTTCGCGAGGACGACCTTGGCGGAGACGACGGAATCGACGCCGAGGCCCACGGCGCGCATCTGCATGTTGAAGCCGCCGGAGGAGAGGTAGCCCGAGAGGCCGACGGTCGGGCAAATGCCGCCGGGCCAGTCGAAGCCGTCTGCGCTGCCGCCCCGCGCGGCGTGGAGGGCGGTGTAGAGGGCGCCGAGGCGGATGCCGCCACCCACGGTCGCGGTGGCGCCGTCTTCGCTGACCTGGACGTGGTCGATGTGGCTTATATCGATGACGAGGGCGTCTTTGAGGGCAGAGTAGGCGAGGAAGCTGGGAGAGCGGTTAACTTAGCTGGAGTATTTAGAGCGAGGGTGAATTCGAACGAGATGAGTCATACTGGTGACCTCCAGACCTGGGCACGGGTTGAACGCCATGGGTCTTCGCGCACTTGATAAGGGGGGCAACCTCGTCCTTGTGCTGGACAAAGGCGATGAGGGCGGGAAGCTGTTCGTCCCTAGATTTACGAACGTTGTCAGCCAATTCTTTTCTTCTTTCTTTTTTTTCTTCCTTTTCTCCATAGCCATTCTTGTATTGTGATAACCCTTGAATCCCTTCCTGGACGACTTGGGGCAGCATACTGGATGTGTTCTCCAATCCGGGCATCGGTATAAGTCTCGTCGTCAGCGGTCACGATGCGATCGGCGGCGTTGTCACCAAAGACATTGGCGACGCAGCCCTTGAGATCTTCCCGTCTGGTCCTCCAGGGCTTAGCCAGCAGGGCCCTGGCGAAAAGAGGAATGTAAAAGAGAGAAAGCCTCATTTTGGGCAGGCCAGGTTAGACCAGGTCACAAACGACAGAACACCAACTCCCTTCTGTTGTCAGATGTTGGAGCTCGAGCTCGAGGCTTCAATGGCTTCAAGGCAGACAAAGTCTACGGTCGTGCCGCCGGGTGGCATCTGGGGAATTGCGTCCTAAATACGATCCCAGCACATGGGTTTCAAAAGATCCCGACGATATTAACGCCGGTCCGTTGACTGACGATCATTGCTGCCGATACCGCAACCGCAACCGCAACTGCAACTGCAACTGCAACTGCAACCGCATCCTGTGCCGCTTTCATGCGGCCGGGCCCCACAGTTCGAGATGTCTACCACGTGCGGCAGGAGGGAGGGCAGGTGGCAGGTAAGCAGCGGCCCAATATGATACCTGGATATTGAGGTCAAGGGCACCCCACCCCACAGAGAGGCAGTTGTTCGGGTAAACCACTGCGCATGACGGTTAATCCAGGGCAGTCCCATCTGGGTGGTTAGAGCTGTGGTGGCAGGTCTGGTCTTGGCTACAGTCGCGAGACTTGTCATCGAAAAACAATCAGCGACGAAGAGACTACCAGACTACCTAGGAAGACACGAGGTAGGCCGCAGGCGATGTCTTGGGAGATTTTGCATCTCAGAATCTGTCTCATTGGGGCGTAGTTGCAGCCCGATGATTGGCGGTTCACTGCTGGTTCCCCTGGATCTAAGGCTGAAGCTAATGGTGGTTGTCCCGCGTGCGGACGGAAGTGGCTAAATTTGGGAAGAGAAGTATGGCGAGAGGAGAGACGTTGGGGGGGTTGATTGGGGTTGCTGTGTTCCCTCGCCAAGCGTTTCGGTCAGGGGAAAGGGAAAGTCACCTGACCTCGACCAACAACACCGGGAAATTATAATACCGTTTGCCGGATTATGGGCCTGTGTGGGGCTGTGCGACATCCGGAATCACCACCGAGACTGGACGGACTTTGTGTCTCCCATCTGGTCCTGGTGCGTCCAGCGGCGATAATCTATCAGCCCACGGCCTACCGCTTATAATAAGAACGTTGAACCGAAGCTGCTGTCGATTCGTCGTACGAGTCCGCTCCCGCGTGGGATCAGTGACAGGTCCATTGCTGACAAGAATACCGCTGGAATGAAGAAAGGGGCTTTTTGAAGTTCTAATAAAAAGATAAAAAGAAAAGCTTGGGTCAGAGGACTAACTAGTGACGCTCCCAACGGCCGTGCGATGCCTCCGTCCGCCTACGGAGGCTCCGGCGGTGCCGGCGTGTTTGCAATCCGCCGGTCGGGCCAGGCACATGGGTAGGGCCCCCCGTAGTCCCCGACCGGCAACCCGTTGGTTGTTGAACAGAAAGCTGGTGGTCCTGTTCTTTTTGTGGCAGTCGACCTTGGACGCTGTAATACCTACTTTACTCCCCAGATTTGAACGGAGCTCTAGGACAGCGATCAGATAAGTTCGAGGCGTTTTTTCTTCGCTTGTTCAGGTCTCTCATCTCTCCTCGTTCTTCCTTGTCATTCATCTTCATCCCAAATTATCTCACTCCCAAAACATCACCCATTACTTAATTCTTCCGCCTTTCTGACATTTTTCTCCCTTCTTCTTATTTTGGTTCTCCATCCAAATTTTTTTTTTAAAAAAAATTCCAGTTCTTTCAGAGGGACTGCCATTTCAATTCGGTTTCTGTATCCCTGCGGTTCTCTGACACCAAAACGCAAAAAACTCTTCTTACTCGTTTTCCTTTGGGTTGGTTGGTTGATTTATTTATTTTATTATTTATTTATTCATTTGTTTACTTGATTTTCGCATCCGTGCCACAAGGCAAGCCAGGCTCAAAAACCGCCATGTGGATTCTCGTCGTGGCCATTGTGGCCCTGGTGGCCTTCTACGCGAGGACGCCAAAGACAAAGATCCCCAAATACAAGGGCGACGGCTGGTTTTCGTTCCTGGCCGATGCCGAGGCGTACTCCATGCGGCCCATCGAGCTCCTCAATCGCGCAACCGCCCAGTGCGGCAACGTGTTTTCCATCCAGGTCCTCACCGTCTACAACGTCTTCCTCCGCGGCAATGAGCTCAACAAGGCCTACCTCGAGGTCCGCGAGGACGTCTGGTCTTTCGGTGGCGGCATGGGCATCTTCATCAACAAGATCCTCGACGACGGCTACTTCGACAACCTGCGCACGCTGGTCGGCTCCCTCAGCCGCTACATCAACCGAGCGTCGGCCCAGGAGTACACCGCCCGCTGCACCACCATCGAGGCCGAGAAGACGGCCGACGCCATCGCCGCCCAGAAGGACGTCGCCCTCTTCGACACCGTGTCGGGCATGGCCCACAAGATCATCGTCCGGACCCTGATGGGCGAGGATTTCTACGCCGTCGCCGACGAGCTGCTCGACATCCTGCACGACATGGAGTCCGACATCGGCAGCCTTTACTCTTTCATCCTGCCCAGCTGGGTCCCGCACCCTCCGGCCCGGCGCCTCGAGGCCGCGCGCCAGCGCTTCAAGAAGATCTTCTTCGACATGCTCGAGCGCCGCGGGGAGTTCCTCGGCGAGAAGGCGTCGGACGCCCCGGACTACGTCGCCTACACCATGACCGACAAGACCACGGTGCCGCTGAAGCACTACATGCCGTCGCACCACACCGTGCTCATGTTCGCCGCCCACACGTCGACGGTGGCCTCGATCGCCTGGAACCTGGTCTCGATGCTGCGCAACCCGGAGGTGCTGGCCCGCGTGCAGGCCGACCTGCGCAGCGACGGCGGCGACGACCTCCTCCTGCAGGCCTGCATCAAGGAGACGGGCCGCTACTACGCCGGCATCAAGACGCTGCGCCTGGCCAAGCAGGAGATCAAGGTGCCGGGGACCGACCTGACCGTGCCCAAGGGCGCCGTCGTCTCCATCGCCCCTTACCTGACGCACCACGACCCGGCCAACTGGGCCAGCCCGCAGGTGTGGGACCCGAGCCGGTGGATCGACACGGCCACCAACGAGCTGGTGGTCCCGGACAACACCAAGGGCGCGTCGGGCCTCAAGTACATCCCCTTTGGGTACGGTAGCCATCGGTGCGTCGGCGAGAAGATGGCCGGCATTATCGTCACTGGCGCCCTGACCACCATCCTCCGGGACTACGACATTGCCTGGGCCACCCCGGAGACGCCCGACTCGGTCGACTTTACCTGTCTCGACTTTGACAAGATTGGCACGCCCTGGCTCAAGGTACGTTACGTTCTGTTTCTGTCTCTCGTTACTACTATCCCTACCCCACCCGGCCCCCGCCCCCCGGGGGTCTCTTCCTGTTTACGTCTATGTACATATTCCTGAACGCTCTGGCATGGGTATCGCTGACGTGAGACGGGGGCTATGCACAGGGCGATGTCCGCGTCAAACTGACCAAGCGCGAGTAAGGAGGCCAATGACAGGGGGCCTCTGTTGTTCTGCTTTTTTATTATTCTTACCTATCACGACATCCACTCTTGTCAGCTATTGACACGCCCTGGAAAATTCCGATGAAAAGTCGAATCCTGTGGCCATAGGGCTGATATAGCCCACGAGGACAAGGAACCCTGGGTCGGGGATGGATGGGAGGGAGTATGCATGCATTCTGTGATTTGATTTGGATTGGGGTTTCTTCTACGTTATTACGACTCGAGCGTTTCTGTACTATGTGATATATAGCCTCTTTCCATGGCAATACGTACCTAGACATATATAGACTTGTTGGGAAATGAGATTCCGAGTTTTCATGATGATATGACACAAGGGTCTTGATAGCACGGTTGCATGTCTCTTTGAAAAGCGCGAGGCGATGCGCTGCGCAAGGCATTTTTTGGCAAAGCTCCTCCCCTTCCTCTGATCTGCTGTGGGATCGATCCGGATTCCGGACAGAATACATAGTGACCACGGGAAGAAACAAAAATAGACACCATAGCAAAGATCGACCCAGGGTTGTTGCACAATGTTGCTGCAAGTTTGAGAAGACAGGTCATCTCGTCGAGGACTGAGGTGCAAAGCCAAGGGCTTCGCCCTGATCTTTCCCGTTTAGGCCACCGGTTTACTGCCCTTGGATGTCCTTGGCCTATATGTCGATCTACCTTACCTATGTCTGTTGGCGGAGCTGCTGCATTGCACTGCACTGCACTGCACTGCACTGGCAATCCTTCGTTGAAGCTGCGTCGGGACGTGCAGAGAAGGAAAGCCAGGATGCTTGTTGACCGATCGTGCCTGCAACTTGCCAGGTTCAGAGTCCAAGTGCCGAGAGTCTAGAGACTAGCATCATCTGTTATTATTATCGTGAGGCGGGGGGTGAGAGACAAGGGCGATCGACAAAGTCAGATGGGTATGTATGGGGAATGGGTGCTGGTTATTAATAGATGATGTTTCATCTTTCGGAAGCCCTTCGCCTATCGGGTTCATGATGTAGGGACTTTGGATGTCATAGGGTTGGTTCATAGGGCAGAAGGATTGAGACACGGACTTGTTAAGATGATTCGTAGACGCGGCGGGGGGACGCGGCGGGGGGAGTGTCGGATCCGAGACGTTGGCGAAGTGAAATAGGAGTAGGTAATTATTCTAATTATTATGTCGAATCGTTGTTGGATCGAAAGAGTCCGACTGATGGTTGGTATGGTAATGGTAGCTTGGCTTGGCTTGTCGCAGGTGAGGCTGATCGGTCGGTCCAAAGGAGTAGATTTACAGAAGAAAATGAAGAATAAATGCTCCCCCTCTAGCTGAGGGTAGAAAGCTAAATACAGTAACCCCGCTTCAGGGCCGGTTATGTAACCCTCCCATCAGTCTACACTTGTTGCCCGGTGGCTCACATCTCCTTTTCATTGGCTTGCTGACTCATCGCTGTACCTTTGTAATTAATGTCGTCCGACGCTTCACACACCGCCACCAACTCACCACCAACTCGCCAGACACGATAGACACCACAGACACCACAGACACCATGACACGACCGCGGTCACAACCCCATCCTCCATGTCGGAGATGTCGCACTTCGCATGCTCATGCAACTTCCGTTGAATAAAGTACTTCTTCAGCCCCCAAGCTATCTCCCGTCGTTAAGGACATGCAATGTGACCATGGAAGCAGGAGGGCGTGCCCGTATTGACGATTGTGATGATCTTTAATTGCACGTCGGAAGACCGGGGGAGCTCCCCCTTTTTTTCTTTCTTCAAAAAATGGCATAAATTATAAGAATACAAATCACACGTCTGGGTGGGATTCGGACATACGGATCGCCGCAACGGTATCTTTCAAAAGACACGGGAAGAGAATTACAAATCGCCATGTGACCCTGATTTTCGTGCCGTCCCGTCCCCGTCCCCTTGATGAGATATCTACTCTGTCCCTGAAATCCCGCATGCAAAAAGGGGGGTTCTCTTAAAAAACCACTGCACCCACTGCACTAATACCACCTTCCCAACATGTCTACCTGACCAGCTATCTTCCCAATGCCGCCAGTTGAAATCGGGCCTTCAGAGATATTGTTCCGCAACGTTCCCTTCTGCTCAAACCCGCCGGTACACATCGTTGCTGCAGTTACTGTATGGAGCTGCAAGTGCTGGGACCGTTTAGTCTTAATACCTCGGGCAGACCGCCGGTCGTTGCTCGATGCCCTCCGTCGAACGGAAGGGTAGTGGAATCTAACTTTTGAGCCACGCAATTTAATATGCCTACCGTGTGCATACTCCGTACACGTACAGTCAGACAGTCAGACAGTCAGACGTGCTGTCGATTGGTGCTTATACGAGGCTGGGGGCAGTTGACGAGAAAAGACAAAAGGCAAATCAGAAGAGAGAGGATGAAGAAAACATGTTTTTGTAGGACGAGAGCGTAAAATTCGTTCTTGGTATCGTTGATCATGCTAAATAAACTTGTGTGAATAACCTCCTGTCCATCGCTTGCTGCGAGGCTCCTCTTCCCCAGAACCCGCAACGCCGTGCAAACATGAATGCAGGAAAAAAACGTAATGTAATGCTAGTAAATACCCTCATCGTCGCAGCGGGGGGATAATCCAAACGCCCCTCGAGATGATTCCCCAGGCTCCATGCACCCCAAACTGTCCAAGTATGCCATGCCATGCTATGCTATGCTATGCCATGTCATACTATGCTATGCTATACATCTGCTTGTTCTACCTGCTCTCCACCTACGAAACCCTGTGATAACAAACTAAGGGATGGGGGGGAGAGCCGCGTAGGTAGAACTAAAGCATCCAGATCCAAAACCGTTCATCGAAAAGAAAATAGAAACAAATCTACATGAGAAAGTGTGAAGATGGGACAAAAAAAGACAAATGAAAAAGAAAAATGCTGCAGATGGACAAGGAAGAAAGGGGGGAAGATTGGGGAACCAGGGGAAATAGGGGAAATAGGGGAAGCCGCGGGGTATCAAATGCGTGTAGAACCAATCCTCCCATCCCATTACACCACATCCTCCAAAGCCCGGCGCAAAATCTCGCTCAGCTCGCCCACCGTCTCCGGCCCGAAAGCGGTATCATGATCTCCGCTGAACGGCACCGTCTCAAAGCTGGTGAACCGGCCCGCGTCCCACCGCATCGCGTCCTCCTTCATCAACTCCCGGATGGCCCGCGCCTTGTCCGAGTCGAGCTCGTCCCTCTCGGGGCTCCGCGTCCACGCCCCCTCCTTCTGGCACTTCACCAGCACCACGGGGAAGTCCGACTTGACCCCGACGGGGAGCAGCTCGCCCGGCGCCACGTTCGAGATGAGCCGCAGCCCTTTCTGCACGTGCTGCTTGATGTTGGTCAGGAACTCCTCCTCGTCCATCCCTTCCCCGCCGCACAGGCTGGCGAACGGGCCCAGCCCGTCCTCGAGGTCCGCCATCGTCATGCACGAGTGGTGGCTGGTCGCGCTCGCGACCGAGATGCAGGATTGCCGCCGCAGGTAGCGGTCCTCTGCTGGGCCCGGGAGGGGCGACAGGAAGCCTGAAGAGTCCCACGTGTCTTCGGGGACCGTCAGGGGTGACAGCAAGCTCGAGTGGCATGTGTTCCTGTTGTTGTTGTTGTTGTTGTTGTTGTTGTTGTTGTTGTAGTTGTTGTTGTTGTCGTCGTCGTCGTCGTCGTCGTCGTCTTCGGCCGCAAGTTGCGGCAGCCCGGTCGTCGTGATGACGAGACCGGAAGGCCGTCGGACAGACGGGGGTTGGGGAGCGCAGAAGCTGAGCCGGGAATGCCGCCTATTGTTGGCCTCCACCCCACCGGTCATGTCGGCCGCCAGGCTGAGCAGGCAGGACCGCGGGCGCTGGCGAGGCGTTTGGGTTTGGGTTTGTGGTTGGGGTTGGGGTTGGCTTTGGGTTTGGGGAGGGTGGAAGCCGATGCAGGAAACGCGGCGGTGAGAAGGAGCCGCGCCGCCAGCCACTCCGGCCGTTAGGTTGAAGAGGCAGGATTGCGGGCGCTGGCGGGGGGCAGGAGGCGGGGAGACGTCGACGTGGGAATCGCGCCGGCCTGGCTCCACACAACCAGCCATCTCTGCTGCCAGGCTGAGGAGACAGGACCCCCGTCGGTTCTGTGTCGTCGTGTTCGCCGTGCCGAGGGCGAAACAGGACTGGCGGCGACGTCGACGTGCCTCAGCACCCGCGTCGACGGCCAGGAAAGACTGCCGGCGAGTGTGTGCCTCGACAATACGCGGGTTCACGCTTTGGCGGCGTTGCTGTGGCTGTAGCTGTGGCTGTGGCTGTGGCTGTGGGATTTGTGTCGTAAAGGGGCCGACGTTCTCCTCCAGCTGCTGGAGCGTGACGCACGAGGTGCGGCGTTCCTCCTCTTCCTTCGTGAGGGGCGCAACAACCTCCTCGAGAGCTTCGTCGCGGAAACGGGCGAAGGGGTCGATGTTGTCAAAGGGGTTGACCGTGACGTACGAAGCCCGGCGTTCGTCCTCGAGGACCTCAACGACGTCGTCGTCGTCGGCCGAGTTGACGAAGATCCGGTCGTTGAAGTTATCCTCCCGGAAGCGGGCAAAAGGGTCCACGCTCTCGTAGGGGTCGGTAACCGACTCGCAGTCGGAATCTTCTCGGCTGCTGCACTCCAGGGAGGCGGGGGAGCCAGGTGTCCAGGACTGGTCCGGAGTGGACGGAGATGGGCACTCCTCCAAGTCGCTCATGGAACTGGTATTGGACCGCATGGGCGGGAAGAACGTGCCCCATGTGCTCCTCCGCCGGTCGTCGTCGTCGACGTCCTCCTCGTCTAGCAGGCACTCCTCGGCCTCCTTGAGCGTATCTGGCTGATCGAACTCGTCGTCTTTGCATTCGGGAAGGGCGTCGTCGGCATCGGCGTCGGCATCGGCGTCGATGGCGGCGGCGACGGGGTTGAGCGCGCGGGAGAAGATGATTCGTGCAAAAAGCTCGTTCTCGGCCTCGTCGGGGAAGGACGGGAATGCTTCAGGGTTGCCCGAGTCGATCATGATGACCTTGAGGATTTTCTCGCCTTGAGATTGGAGAAGGTGAGCCATGTCCATTGCAATCATGCCGCCCATAGACCACCCAGCGAGTAGGTAAGGGCCATGGGGTTGGATCTCCCTGATCTTCTCCACGTAATATTCGGACAGACCCCGAAGAGTCGAAGGAAAGACAAAGTCGTCGACATCGGCGCAGTGCATCGGGCTGGAGATGCCGTACACGGGCCTCTCGTCATCGTCGCTTAGGGAGTGGAGGTAGAGGTAGGGAATGGCGAGGCCGGATATGGCATGGACGATGAATAAGGGGGTGAGGTGGGAGTATTCAGGTCCTTGGAGTTGAGTGATGACCTCCATCGTGGGCGGTCAACCCGGAGACGTTGTTTTTGTTGGCCCAAGACGAACCAAGAACGAACAAACGAACAAACTTCAAGACGGCGCGCGTTTGGTTGAGACTCCTCTTCGAATTCTCACCGGACTCTCGACCCTCGACGAGAAAGGTGAGATAGGGCTGGAAGGAATTGGGAAGGATGAGAAAAGCCGACTCGGTGTGGAGCCAAGAATGCAGACCAGAACAAGAAAGGGTTGAAAGGTTGCGCAAAGCAAGAAGGAAGTGCAAAGGAGCCGAAAATAGGAAAAATAGCTAAGGCATACCAGGGGGGGGGTTGTGTGTTGTGTGTGTTGGGAGGGTCTTCGGTTCGGCCCTGCGTACAATGTGTGCTGTGTAAGCCAGCCCAAGCCCAGTTCGGATTCCTTGCCCGTTTCGTTCCGACGAAGAAAATCAAGCCCGATGGGGAGTGAAAAGGATTGGGAATGGAAAACTTCTTGGGACCTGCCACTTGATGTAAGGAAGTGTGAAACAAGAAGAAAGAGACGGGATATGGAGATGCCCATCCCATGCCCTTGCGAGGTCTTATATCAGAACTGACGTCTCTTTCCACTTGCGGTCAAAACAAAAGCCTTGAGGTCGAGGTGGCCAAAACTAACATGCAAGATCAAGGTTAGCCTCTCCGATGACATGATGAGCCGAGAGGCGAAAGAGGCAAAAGAGGTGGCAAAGCACGTTCGGCCTCGCCATGACCGCTTGGCCACTCAGTAGATGAGAAGATGCGCACGGGTGGGAGATCGAGAGAGACTAGTCCGTACCTTAGAGACAGGGGGAGGCGGGGGG